CAGGGCAAGTCCATGCACCTATTAATTTTCAAACTCGTAAGTCGCTGGTCGTGTAGCTCCACGAGAACACGTCATGGCATAGAAAACTCCAGCAAACGGTCCCAGCAAATTTCTGGTTTTTTGCATAACGAAAAAACCATCAATTTGCTGATTTGCTTCTAACTGAATAACCCCATTATGAACAGGAAGCGGGACTTGAAGTTCTAGTGCTACCGTGGAAATTGTATTCGAATGTTTCTTAACTGTCATCTTGCAGAACTTGGACGAAATTTTTATGTTGATCAAAAAACTGATAAATTTTGGACAGGTATTAACTGATTATCATAGAGAAGAATCAAATGTTATGTACAGGAAAAACAACTATAAGAAAATTGTGATCATAACTAATTTTCTCGAACTTCAAATTCTCGATACTGAATTTCCTATTTATTTTCTTCCTATCGAAATTAAAATCTACGATGTTTTCAGTATTACCATTCAATTGGGATATATATCTTCATTTATTTTTCAGAAAACTATCAAATCTATTATTAAGCACAGAAAATTGAATCAGAAAAATTGTGTGTTCCTGATAATTCGGAGTCTCTCTCTTCTGAACCCCTCTTCAACGTTTCCGAGAGGTACATAACGACGACCTGACTCTGAGAGACTGTTGCTACGAATCTCGCTCTCCAAGCAGACATGCAACACAATGAAGAACAAAACAAAGATAATCAGTCCTCCCACAACAACTATTCCGATAATTGCGATTGTTAAAGAATCCTGGAATCATGCTAATTTTAATTGCAAACACATTTTTTTCAAATTTTTAAAACGTTCAAAAATGGCTAAAAAATCTTACAAGTCGAATCGACGGCGAAGTGGTGGATGACGATATTGGAGATGTCGAGAATACTGTCTCGTTCTCAGTTTCCTGGAAAAACAAAAATGCTGATGTGTTTTAAAATACCGTGATTGTCGACAAATTTGTTTCAGCAAGAAATTTTCGATATGTACTTGCAAAATGACTCGCCGAAATGGGCTAGGCCTGGCTTGGGAGGTCCGGTTTCAAAAATACTTCTCGGTTGTAATTTTTGTATGGCTTCAAAAATGTTGATTAAAACAAAAAACGGATTTCTGTTGCAAAAAATCATTTTTCTAAAAAAAATGCAATTAAATCAGTTGGCACAATTCCGACATTTGTCGATATGATCTGAATTTTGACTAGAAAGTTTTTTCCCACCGTATGTCGTAAAACCTGTATTAGAAGGGCCGGCCCTTCTATTGTTGCAAGGTACCTCCGGAGGGCTTTTCTATTACAGGGGCTTTTCTATTTTTCCGGCTAGTTTTTTTTCGGAAATTTGCATCTACAAATTCGACGAAGTTTCGTTCAAAATTCATAAAAATCTGCCAATTTCACTAAAATTTAGCGATTTTTATCGAAAAAAGAGTTTCAACAAATTTCTATTGAATTGTTGAGATCCTGGAATATTTTCCACTGAAAAAGTACGGAAATTTTCTGATTTCAAAACACATTTTGAATGAGGGTTCTTTTTCATAGAGGTCCTTTCTATTACCGGTGCCCTTGTATTACAGGGTCCCTTCTATTTGTCCGTTGAAAAAGTCAGGCCATATCAACACAGATTTTTCAATAGAAACAAAAATCCAGCCGGCGTTTTACTCCAATTGGAGCTTTGTTTTCGTCTCTAACATCACATTTTTTACCTGGGTGGTTCGGATAAGAGCCTGGGCATCAGTAGGAAGAGTTGGCATGGCTTGGATTGTGGCCAAAACGGCCAAGAAGACGCAACCAAAAAAGATGTGCATAATTATGATGATGGGGCAAGAAATGTGCCTAAAAAGTGGAAAGTTGTACAAACAAAAAGTGGCGAACGGAAGAAACGACGAATATAAATCGTGAGAGTGTACTAGAAATGTAAACATCAGTTACTTTTTTTACATAATTGCAACAGATCGGGTCGCTTACCACGGTTAAAAACATCTCCAATAAGAAATTCCTGAACAAATTTCAATTTTGAAGTGAGAAACTAGTTTAAATTTGATAAGATACCAAAGTAAAACATAGTCAAATGATGCATAGTTTTTGTTTCATTTTTGAAAAATTTTTCGAAAATTTTTCAAAAGTCAGATTCTGTGCCAGAAGCGGGCCGGCCCGAAAAAATTATACTGTTTTTCTCTTCTTTTTTTTATCAAGAAAGAACGGAGAAAAAACGAAAAAAATCGGGAAGAAATAAAAACGGAAAGAGGAAACAAATGATGGGTGATAAACGATATGTGGCTTTTTATACCGTTCGACGAGAGTGGAAGACACAGAAAGCTAGTACACGGATGAGAGAATGGGCAAGAGAAATCTATGGGAAAAAATGGAAATTCAGACAAGATGTGGAAAATGGAAAAAAAATAGCAAAAAAATGTTTTCGGATCTGATAACTCTTTTATATGTATAAAAACAAAGTTTTGAATACATCCACTAATATGAAGCCGTTTAGGTTCAAATGCGAAGCGACGATCGTATTGTCGAATTAAAAAAAGTGACACCTGAGAATTTGAAAACTTTTGCTTTTTTTGATCTGCGAAAAAGTGCTGCAAAAAGTAATATTTCAGAATTTCGGCTCGTTCGAGCTACTTTTGCGTTTAAGTTTAGTTTTTTGCTGAAAAATAGATTCTAGAGTTGCTAGCGATCATTTTCATACCAAGAAGTCAATATTTTGTTCAGAAAATCCCACTAAATTCATATAAATAAATTTGTTATCTACAGTATCCGTTTTCGCTCCGCCCCCTCGTAAATCGACACGAGCGCCGCCTCCGAGATTTTCAGGTGTCACTTTTTTTAATCCGACAATAGAAATAGTAATAAAATAGATTATTTTCAATATCAAGAATCCGAAAGTTTTTTTTTTCATAACTTCAAAAAAATTCAAAAACTGCATACCACACATTTTGTAGATCGAAACGATGAATTTCGTAAATCCGTGAAAATTTTTACGAACTTCGAAAGTGTTTCATTTCCAAGATTTTCCATAATTTTAAAATTCAAAAAAAAATCTCATGATGGTCCCAAAAATGTATTATATTGTGGTTAGGATAAATCAGAATTCTGAGACATTTTGAAACTCAGAAACGCAACATTGCCATGAAAAACTGTCCCGTATTGAATCGCTTGTTGTTTGGGTGCAAGATTTTATAGAAAAGAATAAATCTCTGCGAAAAGACTTTAATATTATCAAGCACGTTATTTTAACTCAGAAAAAGCCCTGGTCCAGCACCATTTTATTCTTTTATCTTGACTATTCAAACCTACCACCGTTGGACATACATAAAGGTGGCATTTTTGCTCCTAAAGTTTGAGGGACCTAAATTATTGTTGTTGGACAGAATTTGATGAGGTTTTTGCTACATATTGCTCTTTGTCATTTGGCAATAAAAAATTCTCATACAATTCTTTTTTCGTTACCAATTACTTTTTTTCATTACCAATAATTTAGAAATTCTCGTATTCTGAACTCTCTCTGAAAATTTTGTTCAATGAAGCGCGAACTACTTCTTACTGACGTGAGGAAACTTTTCTGGGTGTCTGTGTGTCTGTGTGTCTCGGACATTTACTTGAATAACTCAAAGGGACGTGGGACTCCTACAGTGGTGTGTGGTACGTAGTCATGGACTACCGAGCGCTTCATGCCTATGGTGTCCTGGGCCTTCTAGCTAATAGGGAACCTATAGGGTTAAGAATCGAAATTTTCAAAGTTATGCTCAAACTCAATAAAACTTCATGAAATTTTGCAAAGCGTTTTTTTTGTCTATCTATGTGTTGCCTACATAAAATTGAGCACAAATCTTCAAAATTTAATTTTTTTTTAATTCTTTTTTTTTCGTGTATCACTTAAATTTCGATCCTGTGGACTGCTGGAAATGGGTCATAGTAATTTTCTACAGATTACAAGGTTCTTAAGTTATGCGCAAAATTCTAGAACATTCCAGAAAATTCTAAAAATTTTCAGAACATTCTAGAAAATTCCAGTACATTCTGGAAAATTCCAAAACTTCCAGAAAATTCCAAAAAGTTCCAGAACATTCTAGATAATTCCAGAACATTCTAGAAAGTTCCAGAACATTCTAGAAAAGTTCTAGAAAAATCCAGAAATTTCTAGAAAATTCCAGAAAGGGCTAGAACGTTCTAGGAATTTCCAGAACTTTCTAGAACATGCTAGAAAATTCCAGAAAATTCTAGAAAATTTCAAAAAATTACAAAAAATCCAAGAAAGTTTCAGAACATTCTAGAAAATTTCAGAAAACTCTAGAACATTCTAGAAAATTCCAGAAAGTTTCAGAACATTTTAGAAAGTTTCTAAACACTCTAGATAATTTCAGAACATTCTAGAAAATTTCAGAAGACTCTAGAACATTCTAGAAAATTCCAGAAAGTTCCAGAACATTCTAAATAATTACAGAACATTTTAGAAAGTTCTAGCACATTCTAGAACATGCTAGAAAATTCCAGAAAGTTCCAGAAAATTTCAGAGAGTTCCAGAACATTCTAGATAATTTCAGAACATTCTAGAAAATTTCAGAAGACTCTAGAACATTCTAGAAAGTTCCAGAAAGTTTCAGAACATTCTAGAAAGTTTCTAAACACTCTAGAAAACTCCAGAATGATCTAGAAAATTTCAGAAAGTTTCAGAACGTTCTAGAAAGTTCCAGAACATTCTAGATAATTACAGAACATTCTAGAAAGTTCTTGAACATTCTAGAGAATTTCAAAAAATTCTAGAAAAATCCAGAAAACTCTAGAAAATTCCAGAAAGGGCTAGAAAGTTCCAGAAAGAGCTAGAAAATGCCAGAAATTTCGAGAACATTCCAGAAAACTCCAAAAGACACAAAACATTCATGAAAGCTCTAGAAAAGTTCAAGAATATTCTAAAAAATTCCAGGAGTGTCTCGAACTTTCTCAAATTTTAGCTTTCTCTACAAAAATATTGCAACATTTTTTCTATACTTTCATAGTGACCTAGAACCAAAGACTTAGAAATAATGATGTATGTGGGTAATTCAAAATTTCAGGAATTCAGAAAGTCCGAGTATTTAACCAACTCGGAAATGCAGAAATTCGAAAATTAAGGAGTTTAGGTTAGAAATTCGAGGTTTTAGAAAATCAAAAAATTGTATTCTCTTTTCAAGAAACATGTATTCTGTCATGTAGAAACTCGGAAATTCAGAAAATCGGGTATTTTGTTTCTCAAAAAAGCGACAAGACTTAACAGAAATTATCAGAAAAATGAAAAAAAAGTACGTCTGTTTTATCAGAGGTGGGCATCAAATAGATGAGGGCTTCTATTGGAGAAATTACGTTATCTAGAAATTCCCATATTAGTAACATCCAAAATTTAAAAATCGAAACACTTGGAAGTTTCGGGCACTCGAAAAAGTGGAAAATCTAGACATTAGAAATTCATCTGTAAGATACAGTGAACAAAAGCCAGGAGGTTGAGCCCCCGATAGGGGGCTCAAACCGACTGGTTTCATCTATTATTGTATTAGTCATAGCTTTGCTTTTTTTGTTTTTTGTTTTTGGTGTTCATCCTCTTTTTTAAAGGTGGTGCACGGTGAAATTTTTTATTGCATCAAAATGTAAAGAAATGCATGTAGATTGACTTAAAAGTAAAGAAAAAATTCAAAAAAATTCCTTCATCGAGAAAAACGCATCGAAAAATACGCTGAAAGCCCTTAGGGACTAGGTTTTTTCTAGGCCGCCCGGTGAGTAAAAGCGCGCGAATTCAAACTTTTAAAATTTTTTCGCTTGTTTTCACATTTTTTTCGGTTTTTTCAAAAGTTTTCTAGGTTTTTGTCAATTTTTCTTCCAGATACATTGGAAAATTTGAAAAAAAAACAGTGAAAACGAGCGAAAAAATTTTAAAAGTTTGAATTCGCGCGCTTTTACTCACCGGGCGGCCTAGAAAAAACTCGTCCCTAAGGGCTTTCAGCGTATTTTTCGATGCAGTTTTCTCGATGAAGGAATTTTTTTTGAATTTTTTCCTTATTTTTATGTCAATCTACATGCATTTCTGCACATTTTGATGCAATAAAAAATTTCACCGTACACCACCTTTAAATAGATTTTTCCCAGTTTTTATTGTTGTATTGTCTTCTCCTACTTTATAGAAGTCCATTCCCAAATTTTCAGCGAAAAATCTTCAATCAATCCCTAGTTACATACCCTTTTGTACCGGCGCAGAAAAATTGTGATGGAAATTGAAGAAAAAGCTATTAGACGCGTGAGGGGCCCGAACCTTCTCCTGCGTCTGATCGGCGCGCGCGCCCACCATCCAGTCGGCCGCCGCTGCACTCTCGCGTTTAACATAAAAACGCGTCAGTAGAATTTATTATTATTATTATTATTAGTGACAAATTTCGCATAGAATCTTATGGTGAAAAGAAAATCGGAGGCTCTCACCTGTGTCACCCTCAAAACTTCCAAAAACCGAAAGTTTTGAAAATTATGAATTTTCGGATGAGTTTTAAAACTACTTATAGATAACCAATTTTTCTGAAAATTGGCACAGGTGTACACAATGCTTAGTATTATCATAAAATGCACAAACATTTTGGGGTCATCGCTGAAATTTTTTATTTATTTTGGCTGGAACTTTGGCTAAAAATTGTGAATTGTTCGCTCCAGTAGAATTTTGATTTTACTTCAAAATCCACTTACTTTTTTTTATACTACAAGAATCCATCAAAAAATCTGATGGCACTCCCTTTCATCCAACACTTTTAGCCCACTTTGTCAGGTTCATTCTTTTTTTCGCAGTTTTCGAATCAAAATAATAAAATTATCAAAACACTAATGATTTAATTCGATTTTTCGCAGTCGATTACGAAGGGAAAAATTTTAATCTAAAAAATAATGAGTTTCTAACGCCCGGAAAAAGTCTTCAAAAATGGAATTGTGCCGAGGGGAGAACAATTTGATCGTCCCGCCCCTTTTCATTGCGGCGCCTACTCATACCCAATAAAACTGATTTTTCAAATTCTCAATTCTTGAATATTCCTTCAAAATTACTATCCAAAAATTTGATCGAGAAGACTATAGTTTCTGATGATAATTTTTGTTTTGATTGGTCATTGATCAGCTATTTCGTAACTAGAAGAATATTATAAAACAATTCTCCCGAAATTTTCTGATGACTCAAACCGTTCCGTCGATGTTTCTCTCGTTCTCGATATTTTGTGTACTCTTTTCGCAAAGTAGGCGGAGTCGCAAGAGGCACTCAATCAAATGGAAAACAATGACAGACCGTTCTAAATATTTTGCAATCATTCTAGTTCCGAGAATCACTGCTTATCGGCTTCTGCTTTTCGTTTATTTTTTTTTCCGCTCGGCTTTCTATTTTGTTATTTTCAGTGAAAACGAGTGAATCCGTTCAACGATGTCTATTGAAGATGTCACTCCGGTGGTGATTGACAGCGGATCATCATCCATCAAGGTTAGTTTGAAAGACAATTTTGAGCGAATTGCTCATGGCTCTTTTTTTTTAATTACATAATATGGGATTAGGCAAACGACGTTCCAAGGAATCGTTCAAAATTTTTTTGAAGATAACCATAAAAGTTTAACTTTTCTATGTGAGAAATATATAGGTCTGGCTTTCTCAACATGATTTTTCTAGGCCGACGTAGTTAATGGTCCGAAAATGGCTTATCGTGCAACTGGTGTGTTTTCACCATGGTGGCCTAACATAGCTTCCTCAGCCACCTACTTTTGCGTCCTAGACATAGCATGATATTCATCTGGTCTGTTTTTGCGCCCAATTCAATCTAGTGGCCTAACTTCTGTAAATTGAGTTTTCTAGGGCAGCAACTTTTATGGATCAAGCTGTCGCGCACAAGACGCGATTAGTCATCAGTTGACACTTTGATCAAAAAAAATTTCCACAACGATTGCGCTTACATGATTACCAAGAAAAAATGAATTGCCGATATTATTTTTCAGGCTGGATTTGCATGTGAGACAAAACCACGTGTGGTCATTTCAAGTGTGACTGGACAACTCAAAAAACAAAGTGAAGAGCGAAATAAATACCGTCCCGTCGAAAAGGATACCCAGTTGAAAAATGATATCCTCGAGATGAGATCGCCCATTCAGCGAGGAATCGTCATCGATTGGGATGGAGCCACTGAACTGTGGGAGAATGCCTTCAACAATCTTCGCATCACCCCGAAATGTCATCCGATGCTTCTCACCGAAAGTCCATTTACCACAAATGCGGATAGGGAAAAGATGACGGAGATCTTCTTCGAAACGTTCAACACACCCGGTGTATGCTTTGCCAATCAAGCAATTATGTCTCTCTTCGGCTCTGGACGCACCACTGGAATTGTTATCGAATCTGGAGAACACGCCACTCATGTCACGCCAATCTACAAAGGGAAAGTCATCACCGGGGCGGTCAGCCATCTTGATATTGGTGGTCATCAATTGACAGAGTATTTAACTACTATGGTCTCCGCCGAAAGAAGCCACATCTTTCCAAATGGAGCTAAGCTCGATATGGCCCGCCAAATCAAGGAGAACATTGGTTATGTGGTTCTGGACTATGAGTTGGAACTGGCCACGTTTGCTGCAGTTGACTCTATCAAGAGATCGTATGATTTTGGAAATGGTCGTGCAGTCTCGTTTGGAAAGGAAATTTTCCGTTTCTCGGAAGCTATGTTCAAGGCAAGTAAACCTATTCATTGATTTAATGATATCCAAAAATGGCTGACTTTTATCACCTACAGTACCGGTCCAAAAAACATTTATCATTTGATTTTTGGCATTTTCAGAAGTCTCTAGCTCGGCTGTTCAGTTTACAACTACTATGAAAGTTTTGGAGGGTGTTAAACAGACCTAGATTTAACACAGAAATCGGCGAATATCTGAAAAAGTACGAATCCAAAAATCCTGCAAATAGCCCAACTGAATTTTATTTTATTTTATTGACCGCCACTGTAGTCGTCCAGCCCTACGATTTCTGAAATCGGTTTTTTCAGCCTTCTCTCGTCGGCAAAACAAGTGATGGCGTTCCCGAGCTCGTTTGGAAATCAATCATAAAAACCCAGCCGGACATCGAAGAAGCGCTTCTTGGAAATATTTGTCTCACTGGAGGCAACACCATGCTCACTGGATTCAAGGAGCGCATGGAGCACGAACTGGCTGCTCTCATTCCTCCATTAGTGTACTTGTTGAAGATTTTGAAAAATTCCATTGTGTCAGGTTCAACCAGATTTCAGTCATTGCGAAAGACAATCGCAAGTTTGCCGCTTTCATTGGGGGATCTGTCCTCTCTTCACTCACTAACCGCTGGAGTCATTGGACCACTCGCCAGGAGTACGGAGAGTCTGGGGCATCGGTTGTTCACGACCGCAGTTTGTAATTGACTTGTTAATTCTCCCGTCTCCACCTTTTTGGAAAACTTTGGATTTTTTATCCACTTCAAATTTTTTCTGACGCGTTATTATTTTATTTCAGCACTCTTTTGTTTTTTTTTGTAAAATGATTCTTTGTACCATTGAAAAATTCCTTACAGGTTTCAGAATAAAACTGATAGAGTGGTCCGAACATTTAAGAAGTGTATAATCAGACACATATGGTTCGAAATTAATGAACTCATAGTTTAATGGTTTGAAATCAATGAACTCGTAGTTTAAAAATAAGCGAAAAAGCTGACGGAAACCAAAAATTGCAAAACAATGACACTGAAGTATTAAGCATACTTGCAACTGGCCGGGCTTTTTTCAGAATTTCCAGGGCCCGGCCAGGCCCGTTCCGGCCATGGGCTCGGCTCGGCCAGGCCCGGCCCGACCCGTCTCGGCCCTGGTTTTCAGGAACAAATTTTTCCTGTCTTTTAAAAAAAAAATTTTCTGGGTCAACTGAAAAAATGGAAGTTTTATCTGTCAAGTAAAAAACTTTTCAAGATAAAATGTCTGAAAAAATAGTTTTTTTCACAAAAAAATTTGAAAAAATGTCTGAAATTTCAAAAAAAAATTCAAATTTGGAAAACCCGGGCCCGCCGGGCCGGGCCGGGCCGAGCCCTGGAATTCTTTGGCCCGGCCCGGCCCTGATTTTGCAAGTATTTTACTAAGAACTGACGGATAACGATAGTCATACCGTATATTTCATTCGACAAATAAGCTAAAAATTTGAAAAATTGAGGAATTTTTGGGATGAAGTTTGTACGATTTTGCCTTTATCGCAAAAAGCAGACCGTTATTTTCCCTTTGAGGATGATTACTGAATAGCGTCCCCAATTTTTCCTTTATAAAATTCTAGAATTCTTATTTCAGTGTGGCCCAATGGTGAAACAACGCAGGTATTAAACAATTTTGTTGAATTTTTGTTTTTTCTCAACTCGCGAACGATAAAAGATACCGAGAGTTCGAAAATTTGGAATATTTTGATTATAAAAAATTTCGCATTTGAAAGTTCCTAATATTTCAAAATTAAAAAACTTCAATATTGACAATTCGAATTGTTTCAAAATTTTTTAATTTGAAAAACGGAATATTATGAAAATCGGGATATCCCTAAATCCAAAAAAAGTTTTTTTTTTCAACATGAATTCACAAAATAATTTTACAGATTTTGTGTATAACGACGATATCATTGAGGTAGTACCATCATTTTGGGCAAACACTGACATGATGATGATGCTGCCAGTAAAGGGATTCGAGAGTTCTAGATTAATCCAATAACTTCGTGTTGTGCAACAGCGAGCCGTGTCAACGTCACAACGTTCGACGTAGAAGAAGATATATTAGAAGGATGCTTCGAGATGAATAATATATATAATATATTTTATGACGTTTGTGTTTTTTCTTACTATAAAAGAAGATCGGAACATGGTACATTTATCCACCTCAGACGTCGAAAAGCCGAATGAGTTGAAGATTTCAATTTTCAATCTAGCCAAGTTTAGTGTATTCATGATTATGCGATTAACAGAAAATAAACAATACAAAACTTTCTTTTTTGAAAGTTTTCCCGTCAATTTATTATCACTTAAACAGCGACAGAAATCCAAACCCGTAGACAGAAACTGATTTCCAGACTAATTGAGGAATTTTCGTGTATACGAGTTTCAGAATTTAAAAAAAAAAGACTTGACAGAGTTTCACTAATATTTAAAATATTAGAGAACCAAATACAAATCAGAGTTAGTTATTGGTTTGAAATCGATGAAACCTTACAAGGGAAGTGTTTTCAGACGGGGGTTGAGAATTCGCTCAAAATTGGTAAAAAGGAACTTTCGAACATGCTGAAAACGGTGTAAACAGTATCTCATCCCCGGATATAATAGGAATCAAAATATGGGCTCTTAAAGTGATTTTAGTGCTAAATTTTTACCAAAAACGTGCATTTTTCCAGCTTTAAAACTAGTTTTTAGTATTTTCTCAAATGTAAAACTCATTTTTGAACATTTCTCTATCATCTAAATAAGTTAAGTAATAAGATCTCACTTTTTGAAAAGCTCATAATTCTCCGAAAAATTTCAAAAATTCTGAATTTCCGAGAATTCGGAATATTTTCCAGATATTTTGAATCGAAAGCTTTCAGGAAATCCAATGTTTCAAATATTTATATTCCGTTTGCAGCGTTCCATGAGGCTTTTCCCCTGAGCCCAAACTTTCCCAATTTTTTTTAAACATTACATTACTCTATAAAAAAATAACATTTACGCTTGTTTGAAAAAAATGCGCATTCAAAATTGAAAAAGGAAAATCCAGATTTCTAATTTTTCTTAAATTTTCATTAATCCCCGAAAAAAAGTGAAGTAGCTTTATTCAAATCAAATTTGGAAGTTTCTCCCACATTTTTTGCAATTTTCATTCGCAATAGAAAACTGAAAGGGCAATATCACTGTGATGATTCATCTAGTTTTTTTTGCAAAAGTTTTTTGCAAACATCCTCTACACAACTTTTATTGCACATATTTTTGAAATAAAAATAGATAGAAGTTTTTCTATTTCTTTCTTTCTTTTTGCCTCTTCTCTTTGAGACAATAAAACATGAGTCATGGTTCTCCCCCTCTCCTTCTCTATCGCGAGAAGCCGGCCTTCATTTTCCTTTCCAGGACGCTTACTGAATTGTGTCCCCAATTTTTCTTATGATTTTTTCAAACTTCTGATACTCTAGGCTTCTAGAATCCTATCAAAGCATTCCGGGGTGGCACAATGGTGACGCGGTGCAGGTATGTCGAAATTTTGTTGGGATATGTGATTTTGAAATTTTCGAAATTATCCGAGATTAAGAAATTCTGTTGTTCAAGTTTTTAATATTTTGATCTTTCGATTTTTAAAAACTCGAAATATTCCGAGAATGAAACATTTTAATTTTCGAAAATCGGAAAATTCAGAAACTCAAAAATTGTGATATTTGAAAATTCGAAATATTTAAAAATCGAAAAATTTCAATCTTCGTAATGTCTTTTTCGAACTTTCGGGTCATTAAACAATTTTCGTTTCCGAGGCAAATGCGTAAAAGTACTAAATGGACTCTCTTTCACAATCAGTAATTAAATCATCAAATTTCAGACTTCCTGCTGAGAAATGCGTTCACTCTTCCTCGTATTCCTATGTTGTGTTCACTTGCTCCAGCAATCGTTTGCAATCACTCCTCTCATTTTCCTTCCGCATACACGTTCAAGCTATGTGAGATTTCCGAAACCACTAAATTGTTCGAAGGCATATATCGGAAAATCTAAGTTAAAAGTAAATTCTACCGCCCAACAATATTGAGATTCCAACATTGTTTTTTTTTCAGATGATCAATGGGAACAGCTGAACCAACGATTCCAAAACGGGCATATTGGATTCAAAAATGGAACTTAGATGTGCGTGGAATGTGAAGAATTTTTTTTAATTTCTTGTTAATAAAAAATTTTCAAAGTTTTACATTTCAGTTAATGTTAGAAAAGTGCTCGATAAAAAACAAAGTAATGGTTCATAAGGAACAAACGGCAATCTTTTTTAAAATGTAAGAACTAACAAAAGGAATTGATTTCAAATATATTTCTTTTTGTAATAAAATGTTTATCAAAAAATGAAATCAGTAAAAAGGATCAAATTAGAGAACAGGAATTTTGAAAAGAGAGTGAAACTGTAGAAACTGTTGGAACAGATCAGCGCATCTAAAACATGGAATAACTGATGCAGTACAAAAAGAAGAAGTAATAATATTTGTAGAAAAACATGTACCGCGTGTGATATGATTGTATTACGTTGTATTGCTCCCAGTAGACTTCCTTAGTCACAGTAGTGTAATCCTCGCCCAGAACCACGCAACGGATAACGACTTCTTCGGATTTCTGGATGTTGTCGCAGACGTATTTGTGATTGCAGATGGTTTCGGTAGTGGCGATGGTCCATTTGGCAGCGACTACAGCTTGGAGATAGTTATGAAGCTCCACCATCTTGTTTTTGTGCTCCGGAATAGCGGCTCTCTGAAATAACAGAAATAAGTAAAAAGTCAGAGTTCTGATTTTTATATTTTTAAAACTAAATTCACTGGCAAACTCGACGAATTTCTGTTTATTTCAAGGGTTCAAAGTGCCGGTTGAGAATTAGCGAAATTTGTACATAGACACTTTCTAGCATGCTGAAAACGGCTTCATCAGAGTTTTCAGCTCATTTTGAATATGACTCCAATATCGTGTTCAGTACTAAATTTCGACCAAAAATATGCATTTTCTCAGCATTAAAGGTATTTTTATTGGATATTTTCAGAATCGAAACTCATTTTTGAAAATCTTCATATTATTTAATGTGATTTTTGAAAAATTCCAAAAAGCAATTCGAAAAAAGCCCCATTAGAAAAGGAATCAAAAAATTTTTCCGGAATAGTGAAGATTTTCAAAAATTCTCAGCCAAAATCCTAAAAACGTAACTTTTTTGAATTAATGAGAAAGAGAATTGAAAAAATATCTACTGGATGCTTCATCAACTTGGTCAGTGTGCGAACTTTTCCAGCCAGATCATAGACCTCTTTTTTTGAAAGAAGGAGTCGCGGTGGCTGTTCGTCAGGTATAGAAGTGATCGGTGGAATTACACTGCCTGGCTTGTTTTCCAAGCATGGCGCTGATTCTACAGACATTTTCTGTTTAGTAGACGGTTCATTGGCAGCATCGGAGTAACATCTCTTTCGTGGAGCTCGCCCAACTGGAACAGCAAAAACTGGCATGATCGATATGCCTGAAATATTGGAAATTGTAAGAAATTGTATCACCTAGTTGAAACGATAACAACAAGAAATAAATGTATGAGGAGGGAATGAATGGTTTGACTGATTACGTGAAGGCGTGTTTTGCCATTGATCGGTCGTTTGCTCTTCAAGACATACGAAACAATGGCATACTACGCGGCAAGGTCAGCTCTACGCGACAAGGGTGTGCCCTCTGGGAAAAGTCCACCTGTTTACGTAAACGTGCAGCTACCAGTCAACATCGTAATTGTCTGTACGGTAAAAGCAACCACATGAATACAGGGTGGCTATTAATTATTAACACCAAACTTGCGAGCTAGATATGATGCATACCAGACGCACTAATATGTGTTCTTTTATATTTTTCTTATTCTTCTACTCATTGTGCATTTCCCTGTCAAATTTCATCAAATAATATTACGTCTGAACTGAATGGTGGCTCTTTTTCCAACCCTTTTTTCGATCAACAACGGAACAATTGAAAATGGCCTCATGACTGATGTTACAAAACCAGTCCGTGTGGACCGCGTCTTAGTCGAAAGTACTGCCAATAAATGTTTTCTTATTCACATTGACGTGGGCTATCTAATAACTGATTTTGGGGTATCTGTGACATCAGATACCATCGTTATAGTCGTGAACAAGAGAATCTGCTAAAATTCAGACGAGTGTTACAGAAAGCTCGCTGCTGACTTCAAAACGCTTGATGAAAATTATTTTCAGAAAAGAACAATTTCTAGCCTTCATTCTTTCTAGCTTTCTCTCTCGATTCTTTCTAGACTTCTAGCTTGTCAGTGAGCTCTCAGGGAGAGGGACACCAGAGTATTGTGGTTAAAAAAGCTTGGAAGTTTCTACGCGGCACGTTCCTAAACACTCACAGGAGGACACTACTTTGGGGTAATCATTTTTACAGTCGATGGCAACAAAGGTCCCTCGAAATTGCAGAATTATATTCAAAAATATGTCATCTGTCTGCCAGTAATTGAAAATTGCAAATATAATTTCGCTTGCCGCCACGATTCTGATCTTTGATGGAATCACTGGAAATTGCAAATAATCCCTTGTTTTCCTCAATTTTCGAACCAAAATCAGCTATAAAACAAGTCTACGTTATCAAAGTTTTGCATTAATCTGAATCCTACGTTAATATAGGACGTTTTGACAAGAATGAGCCACGGTTTTCAGTGCTAAAGACACCCCAGGGTGGTTCAAGCTCAATTTTCCGTAGTTGAACTAAGCACAAGAATGGATCGATTTCTTCCTAACCTTGAAACCAATAAATTATTCAGTTTTAGGGTATTGAACCCAAATAGTGTCTTCATGAAAATTCAAAATATCACACTTCTGATGACCCCCCTTCAGAAGATATGGGCGTAAAAAGGTCGAAAATACCTCCGTGCCGTCGTTGCCTTCTTTCCGAAGCTTCTGAAGGCTGTCGTCAGAGTGAAAAGAATTTTATTTAAAAACTTTTGCATTATTATAAATTTTGTGCGTCTGAAATTATTTTATCCAAAGTTTCGAATAACTTCATCAAGTTTTAGTAGAGTTATGAGGGCTTGGATCGGTGTCAATAATTAATAGCCACCCTGTATTTTTATAAATACCATTAATAGCAAAACCATTAATAGCAAAATTTTTTGCTTAACTTCTTCTTCCTGTAAGGGCACTATATTTGAAACGTTTTTTTTAAATATCGTGACTTTTATTTCATTTTGCTTAACTCGTTTTTGACCTCTCAGGTCAGAAGTGGGACCAAAAATTATGTCTCCTGGCAGGAATGTCGTACTTGTCGCATACATTTCGGATAGACAGGTACTGTCCTTGTTAAAATACTGTTTTGGAATACTTTTGTGATGAGTTTCAGTAGAAAATTGGCGACAAACAAAAAAAGCTACCCAAACCACCTTCGAACAGTGGAGTGACATTTCACTATACGTTTTCACGGTAATTTTTCCATTTTTACTAAAACATCCTCCAAATAAACAAGAGATTCTGCTCTTCTATTTGATAATTACAGGGTGGCCGATAAGTATAGGACGCTCGCTTTCAGCGTTCCCTGGCACGGTGCCAAGGGATATTTTCGAAAAATTTCGAAACTTTTCGAAAGTCCAGAGACTATTTAAGTAAGCTTCTCAGTCATTTGTTCTCACTTCTCCATATCGCCGAGCTATGAAAAGTTCTCCTCATCGTCCTTCCATTGAACTCTTGTTCAAGAGAGGCCTCGGAAGTGCTGAGATCGCTCGACGCCTTCAAATTTCGTCTTCGACGGTTCGAAACGTTGTCGCTGCTATCAAAAAGCGAGGAGATGCTTCTGAAGTAAAAAAAAGCGGACGTCCACGTTCTGTCAACACCCGGAATACCGTGCAATCATCAAGAAACGGATCATTCGAAATGATGGATTGAGTCTCAATAGGATGGCGTCACAGCTTGGAATTGCCCGATCCACTGTCCAATCGATTGTCAAGAACGACTTGAAGCTCAAAAGTTACAAACTACGTCGTGGACAGTACCTCTCGGACAAATCGAAAGCGATGCGACTCGAAAAATGCCGAAAATTACTCCAGCACTTTCAAGTGCGCCGCGTCTCTGACGTTATCTGGACAGACGAGAAGATCTTCACTATTGAACCTCTTCCCAACCGTCAAAACCAGAGACAGTTATTGTCAAAGGATGACAGCATGTCTCCGAAACGTCGTCTTGCCCATAACCGCCTTTTCCCGAAAAGTGTCATGGTTTGGGCCGGTATCACGGCAACCGGTAAAACTCCGTTGGTTTTCATTGAAAGAAATGTGAAAATCAACTCGGAGGTGTACCAAAAGATTGTGTTGATGGATAATTTGTTACCCTGGGTCACTCAGCACTTTGCTGGTGGTCCATTTATCCTTCAACAAGACTGGGCACCGTCCCATGGCTCGAGATCGACATTGGCCGTCTTGGAGGCGCATTTCCCTGGATTCCTGGACAAGAACTTGTGGCCTGCTTCCAGCCCGGATCTCAATCCGATGGATTTCAGCGTTTGGGGCATGTTGGAAGGGAAGATCGCGGGAAAAGTTTTTGCTACTGTCGATGACTTGAAGGCCGCTCTCGAGGTAGCATGGGCTTCGATCGACGACGGATACCTGCGGCGCACTGTCAATTCGGTGAAGAAACGTTTGAGAGCCTGTGTCAAAGCTCGTGGATCCAACTTCGAATTTCTCTTGTAAAATCAAATTTTCTGCTTATTTTTTGTTGTTTAATAAAGGTTGTTCTCGAAAAATCCTCAAATTGAAAAAATGGGAGCACTTTCAAAACGTCCTATACTTATCGGCCACCCTGTAGTTCAGCAACTTGCAAGAGTGTGGCACGTTATTATCAATTACCAAGAGTTCTTGGAGGCGTGTTTGTCTTGGTATTCTTGGAGGCGTGTTTGCATCGTTCAGCGCACGGTTTGCCACGTCTCGTGCGACGGCAGCTGTCACCCTCATTAGTTTCTACTAAATTGATCAGGATGAAAAAAGGACACAAGAAGTTTCAAATGTTTGCTATTCCTGCAGAAGTTGTTCGTATAATTCTAGGATTCATGTCTGAACGAGATTCGTGAGTTAATTAATTCTACATAATTATCATCCGTTTCAAAAAACAAATTTCAGGATAATATTGTCGTTCATGTCCCGTAAATTTTGTTATTTCGTCAGAACAATGCGAATGCAAGGGAAACGGATATTTTTCAATTTCCACCCAAATCAAGTTGATATGGGAGTTGAGATGATGTCCGGAGATAAGTTTTATTTTCCGTTGCCATTCAATAACTTGTGGTCAACAAATCGCCAATTGTCCCAAATCTGGTTGGGAGGATATGTTGAAGATACCAGAAAATGGCAGTTTAGAAACTTTTTTGATCAATTGAAGATTGTTATCAACCATTCAGCAGTGGACACAATTCGTTTTTCTGCAGATGCAACAAACTTTAATCTACAGTCTGTGCTCGAAGATATTGGCAATCCTATTTGCCTTCATATTGAAAGAACCGGCTCCGACCAAGCCAACTACGACATTGTCAATCATTTTGACACTCCTATTGTTAATCTTCATGTGCCACTGCTGGAGAGAGTTCCGGAAGGAATATTGTCCCGGAAATTTGAAGAGTTGCATATCTGTAAAACTAATTATGAAGATGGAAGAGGAGAATCTCATTTCCACCTGGAGGATATTCTGGTTACAAATGCAAAAAATGTTTATCTCGGCCAAATATGGATGACACTCAAGGATATGAATCAATTTTTGAAACGTCTCCGTCAAGGAAGCAACTTGGAGCTGAAATTTTTGACTGTTGTAGTGGATGACGAAATAACACCGGAAAATGTTCTCGAAGGATTACAAACTTCCGTTGCTACAACTACACCCCAAAAACCTGTCACAAAATATAGGTTCAATCGTAATTTCTATCTAATATCTATCAACCCGGTAGAGTTTTTCGATTATGTCACAGTTGATGGTAGAATTGTAACCGTAAATATCAGAGGCCGAACTGTTTCAATCTACGTCAGAGATACTGAATTGATATAGTTCGTATAGTTCAATACCGCGTTATTCGCTATTTTACGACCAAACACTTCCCATTCCTTTTAATTTCTTCCGTCTTCACTCTTTTTCTTATTTTAATAATGTTGTGATTGACTCAAATAGTTTTCTTATAACACTTTTTTTCAAAAACACATTGACCAGAGACAAGCTTGTAATTTTAGTTCACCTTAAAGTTCACCTCAAAGTTTAACTTTACTCTAATTTTTTTCATCACTCCTTTCAAAGATCCATTACCAAAACTCTATTCTGCTTCTTTATTCTATTCACCCTTATTTTAATTTTACCGACTCTGTAATTCCTCCAGATAATTTTCTTATGATGTTTTTTTTTTGTAATCATACTCACACTTGAACCCCATCTTTCCTCTCCCTGACCGGAGCCAAGCTTGTAAGCTCTGTTCATTTCCCTCAGCCCAAAATGTTGTTTTTTTTCTGTGAATTATTTCTGTGAAAAACGTCAAAAAATTTTTTTCAGACTTTTTGAAAGTTGTTCCAATTGTGGATTATTTTTAAATGAATTATAAATATTCAAATATTTGTTCTGATCATGCAACCTTTTTTCAGATAGTTTTCAGAAAAGGACTTCCCCAAAAATTTCAGTTGAGGAACGCTGAATTCCAGGGCGTCTAATTGGAAAGTTCCAATGAAATTTTTCCATTCCTTCAAACATTGAGACTCAACAAGACTGGCACCTTAGTGCCCTACAAGAAACAAGTTTTTATGTGTTATGCAGTCACAATAAAACAATGCCTGTCTTTTTTGTTTGCCCCACCTGTCTTGCTAACTCATTTGTCTCCTCGAATACCCCTTTTCATCTCTCTAATAGCCGTATTACCGTCCTAAATAGAGGTGCTACCTGTCACATCATCTAACAAATCGCAGTAGATAGTGAAATTACACACATTCGTCTTTTGGAAGAATTCTAGTGTCATACAGTGATGTTCGGGATAGCCTTTTTAGATTTTTTCTTAATTTCGGAATATTCCGATTTTCACAAATTTTGGCATTTTTGGAAATTTTGATTTGGCCTTCATACAGCATTTTTAAGAAGCATGCGATTTTTCAGACAACTCTTTCATTTTTGAAAATTGATAGCGGATTCCGATATGCAAATTATGTTTGTCACTTTTTTCTATCCCAGTATTTTTTTTTCTCAAAACTTGTCGAAATTTAAAGTTTAGTTTCATTTTTTTATTTCTCAACTCAGCCCCTTGCTTTTTTTGAATTTGAAAAGAGAAAAATATATGACAACAATTATCACATGCGTTTCTGATTTTTCATTCTCCAGGTATGCTTCAGTGATATTGTGCCTCATGCGATAAACAAAATTTTAAAGTTTTGTAGTTCAGTCACTTGAGCTTTTACGTATTAATGAAAATTCTAGGCATATGATATTGCCAGAAGGCCATTGAACAGAAAATAATAGAGATATTTCGTCTGGAGATAAAACTTCAAATCGGAAGGGGAATATGAAAATGCAGAAAAGGTTTTCTTTGTGATAAAAATGGATTTTTGAAGTTGGCAGTACCTAGAAATGTACTCATGAGATTTTCAATTCTATACACATATTCTCGTGTGAATGATCAGCATCAAATTGATTTTATATCTCGTTTTCATTTTTCATTAACATTATGGCAGATGCGATAAACAAAAATTCTAAAAGTTGTAGTCCCGTCAATTGATCTTAAGGGTTTTGGGCAATTTTTCGAATTTTTTTTTGAATCGACGGTATGCATTCTGTCGTAACAGTGTACATCTCTTAACAGCTAGGAATTTCACACATGGCTTCTGGCGGGGCTTTCGGGTAGCTGAACCGGTATCATCGATCTTCAGAACAAAGCTAATGGATTTACGATAAACCTGACATGAAACGCGGAATCACCAACTTTGACTTAAATTTACATCGACTTCTGTATTCTGGCACATTTCGGGTCTCCCTTCCGTTTGCATTAATCCTATAATTGCTCATCATCTTTTTTCGTATACTATGTTACCCTTCTCTAAAAATTTTCAAATAGAAAGCTCGGGTAGCCCCAATGGGAGGGGCACTAATTAGGGGCTTCAAGGCAACACCTCGTGCTCAATCAGGACCCGACATTTCCAATATGACAGAAAGTTCATTTGGTCTATGAAATTTCAATTTTACTCAAAGTTCAATATCTCGGATTCCTCGAAAAAAAAGAAGAAATTACCGTCAAAAAGAAGAAATTACCGTGAAAGGAGTTCATAACACTGTCAATTTTGAGCTAGCCCAGTTGACATGTTTTTGATATCTTTCACAGAAACAAATATAAACCAGTTCAAACTTTGAGAACGGCCTTTTGAGTAGAGATTTTACCGGAACTTCATTTCAATGTTTTCTGTAAAACTCAAAATAACTTATTCCAGGTGTTAAAGGTGAAGGGACATGAAAAAATAATGCTCTCAAAATTCCGTTCAAAGATGCCCCTCGATGAGTTGAATTTGTGAGGGCGATGATTGAGGGTGCGGCGCCGCTACCGACTGAGCCAAGCGGGCAAAGAGAAAGCGCACGCTCGATTGCATACATAAAGGCGAGGACGACAGCTGTACGCATAGTGACATTAAGCGTTGTACACCGTGACGGTAGAATGCATACTCTAGCTACAAAAAAACTACGAAAAATCTCCTGTCCCCCCACCTTTAAACAAAATTTCAAAATTCAATAGACCTTTCATATGAACTTTCCGTCATAATTAAAGTGCTGGATCCTGGTAGAGCACGAGGTGTTTCCATAAAGTCCCCAATTAGTGCCCCCTTCCTACCTGAGCATTTCCTGTTGAAATTTCGACAGAAGGGTGGCCGATTATAAGGACAGGTATGTAGTCAGAAATTATGGAATTAAGTCGAACAGAAGGAAGACCGTTGCCGTTTTCGAGGGTACCGTCAAAACAAGAATTAATTGGGAACGGAAGAACGTTTAATGTGGAATGATTTTTAGAGTCGAAAACATTGAGGGTGGAAAATTTTTCCTCCTTCACATTCTCGGAGTGGATCAAATTTTGAATTTCGGAATCCGAAATTGCGAAAATTCCGACAAATTTCAAAATGAAACATTTTCAGACAATGGTATGTCAAAAGCGCACACAACAAATTCTCTTGCGGGTGTCGGTTTTACTTTTAATTGCTTTTAATTTGTTGCTTTCTCAAACCCTTTTTGTCGATTTTTCACCATTGTTTTTCCACGGTTGAAGGTGGGATTTCTTATCAGAAATTGTTCAAAATCAGAAAATTCTCAAATTTCGAGTATTCTAAACGTTCAAAATTAGAAATCGAAACATTCCGAAAATAGAAAACTTCGAAACTTCAAAACTCGGAATTTTTAACAGTTCCGAAAATTTTGAAAAAGCCATTTCGAATTTCTCTTGTGCTGTATAGTCCACAAATTTTTTCTCATTGTAGACCGTTGAATTGCGGCAAAATAGAAATCAAATAAATTTTTTGAATTTGAAGTTATTTTCAGTTTAAAGTCTGCACTCGCGACGATTATTCTGACTACCGTAAGCCTTCGAAATGTCCTCTTCTATCTTGTTTATAGCTTTATTTATATTTCACCTGCTGTTGATGTCCCGACAACACACCAATTTTGACACTCCATGCAATAAACACTATTTCCGCACTATAATAATCACACGAGCAATGGGAGGAGCCGAAATGGCGGCGCGAGCTTATAAAATGGGCGGAGCGCTTAAAGAAGGTAAAAAGCCCTCTTCCATTACCTCAGTAAAAGTCTACCTCCATAGCTGTATTTGTCATATTTGCAAGATCCTGCTCTCCCAGATTCCAAGTTAGCAAATGGAGTCGCATCTACCAAAAGACGAGGTTTTTTTGTTATTTTCATAATTTGGAACTTATACAAACTTTTTTATTTTTCAGTTGATCGCTGATCCACAATCCCGTGAAATAACTCCAGAAGAAGATGAATACGAGCCATATGTTAGTGAAATCAATATTTTGATATATGTAGTACCTATTGTAAAAGTCTTGTGATGTTTTGAGAGCGACGTAAAAAGTGTCCAGATTTTGAAGTAATTATGAATTTCTTTTCCAGTTCCCATCTGACGAATTCCATTTGCCAGCAGGACTCGATTGGAGTTTGACTCAGGATCAGATTGCTTCAAGACTAGCTGAGAAAATGGTTAGTTTTAGTTCTCGTATCAGAAAAACACTTCTTCACTCATTGTTTCTGAAACTGTTTTTCCAGGTCTTCGCGCCATGGCATATCTGGCCGCGAGCACTTTACGTCGATCCCTTGTTTGTAGGTTCCCAATATTACTTTTTTCATAATGAGCAATTTTATAGCCAAGACTCAATGACGCAGAACGCAAGTACGCTCAACTCACCTTGGACGCCATTACGACGAAACAAAAAGAATACCAAGCAAAAGGATGGTCCATCTATCGGTTTGATACGGGTTTCGAAACTCAGGAGTGGAAGCAGCCAGAGTTGGTGAGCGCTAGAAATTGTAATCCAGTAATCCATGAAAAATATTCCAGGGAAATATAACAACTCCTAATCCAGCGGTTTACGATGTTCCTAATCTCGACGATCTCTACCCAAAGGATGTACCACCAGAGTGGCGATGAATGGTGATTTCTTCCACAAGTTATACGTCACCCGTGAATCTTCGTCCGATAGTTTGATTATCTAATCTTGTGTAACCCCACGAATAATCCATTATTGTGTTTTATCCATTTTTTCCATGTATACTTGAGATTCTAGTCTTAAACTTCTTTTACTCTTCCTTTTCAAAAACATACTTCATCCACCCCCCCCCCCCAACCCTTTTCCTTCCACTTAGCCCCTACCCATCATTCCAGTTCACCTACAAAACCCGAAATTCTAGTCCTCAAACTGCGTCCCCTCCCTTTAGCCCATCTCACTCCTAAATCCAAACTGAGATAACTTTACTGTGATTTGATTTTTCTACAAGTCCAATGTCGCACTGTTTTTCTATGTCGCTTAAGTTCTATGTCGCTCTGTTTTTAACCATTTTCTTTTTCTAATTCCTCCCCCGCATGTGCATTGCCACCCATCAAGTTTTCACTGAGATTTGTAATTACCATCTTCCTGTTTACGTACACATACTATCTCAGCCTTCCTTTTGCATTGTCCAACCACCATCACCTCTTCCAAACAGTTGATCAGACTTTTCTACAACTCAGCGAAGATATTCTAACAAATTCGAATTCCATCTCTGACTTCCATTTTTTTAATCGAAGTTTAAAGATTCCGATCTTTTCTACTTTTTACATCCCGTCCAGTTAACCGTTGAATTCCAGTTCTCAGATTTCGTCCTATTTTCCCCACTTTTTTCTATCTCATCTAAATTCATTTAGTGATAGTTTTTCTGTGATTCGTTCCCAAAATTTCACTACATTTCCCGTTTCTCCCAAATCAAAAATTTCTATTCTTTCTTCTTTTTTTCGCCTAACCTTTTCTTTTTTCTACCTTCTTTTTTCTACCTTTTTTCTATCTTTTAGCTTCATTTTTGACTATTCCATTGTTTTCATGAATTTCTATGGAAACAATCGTAAAGTACGAAATTCACATAGAAACAGTGACAAAACTTAAAAAGAAATAGTTGAATCTTAACTTTGACATAGTTGTTCATCAGCCAAAACTGTTTTTCATCAGCCGTGTGAACATGAAATTATATTTTATTCAGAAAACACATTCTCAAACATCGATGACCATTTTATCATTATTCCTCAGTTTAAATTGCTGAAATTCGTCATTTTTGGTCTTAAACTTTTGATGGTCTGAACCAGTGATGGGAGGAATTTCCGTTTCCGTTTCCGTTTTCCGTTTTTGCCCGGTTTTTAGAGATTTTTTTTCCGTTTCCGTTTCCGATGAAAAAAATTTACGATTCCGTTTCCGTGAAAGTGAAATTTCATTTCCGTTTTCCGTAAAAACCGCAATTTTTTGAAGCAGAAACGGAAAAAATGTAGAAAACAACAAAAACATCAAACTGAAATTGGCTTGGAAAAAAGCATGGAAAGTGATGCAAATATTGCCTTTAAACGTTAAAAAGTGTATATTTTTATGTTTGAAGTGCATATTTTATGTCCGAAAGAAAAATAGAAATTTCCGTTTCCGTTTCTAATTTTGAAAATTAAAAAGAAAAATTTCCGTTTTTTGAAAAATCCGGTTTTTGAAAAATTTACGATTCCGTTTCCGTAAATTGTAATTTTATTTCCCTTTCCGTTTCTGTTTCCGTTTTCCGTAGTTCGGAAAAATGCATTTCCTCCCATCACTGGTCTGAACTTGATATTTCTGGCTGAAATTCGATGAGTTTTATACTTGAAGTATTTTTATTCTTGTGAGCTCATGATTCATAATTGACGAATCTTGATCTTTTTTCCCTTTCTTTTCTCCAACAGATGACAAGTCAAGTGATAATAATTATTATCAAGCTCGTGCTCATTTAACTTGAATTAATGTACGGCGTAAAATCAGTGAAACGAATGATTCTGTGCGATAGGTGACAAACATTGTGTCTACATTTTCTTCATTTTAGTTTCAGTTGAAACATGTCTTCTGATAATATCACTCTCTTTTTTGACAATGTAACTTTATTTGATGGCAACTTTACCATTCCCGAAGTAAACGCCACCATAATTGAGTCAACTGTAATTCCTTACCTTTTTAAATGGGCTCACTCAGACATGGCCAGGTGGAGTTTCTTCATTGCATTTTGCACTTGGATCCCGACTGGACTTCTTATATTTCGATCTATTTACAAAGTCTACAAATCTAATAAGATAATCAAAAATTCTATCTCTACACAACTTTGTGTGACAGTGATGAATATTGTGCTTTCCGTAAGTTTTTTCTACTTAGGGATGTTCGGAACTGAATACGGAATTAGGAAAATTTCGCTGCTAACTTTTTTCCAAACTTTTTCGGAATCTGAGCTTTTTAAACTACGGTATGTCAAAAGCGGAATAACTTGTATATTTTTTTTTTCGTTTTTGAAATCTGGTTGTTAATTTTTTTACAGTTTTTATGCGTTTTTGTGATGGAAAGTGGAATTACTATTTGAAATTAGAGAATCGAAATAATCAAAAAATTGAAAATTTATAAATCTTTCTCTTTTCCGAAAGCAGTGCACGTTCAAAAAAATATCTCGTTCAACTTTTTTTTGAACAAGAGCGAACCACCGTATTTTCTCTTATCTTTTAGGATTTTCATTGTTTTTTTTTATCATTTCTATTCATTTTTCTGAATTGCATTTAAAAAAACGTTGGAAGTTGTTAAAAATCGAAAAAATGACATCAAAATACATAGACTCGAGAAATACAGTAATCGTTTTACCATTAAGAAAGATTTAACAAGATGCTCTCTCTTGGTGTACATTTATTTTGGACAAGATTAATATGCGGAATTCCGAAATTTTCGACAATCCGAAAAACTCTAAAAAACCATTCAGAGTATTCTTGTTTTGGGTTCTCACAGGTAAAATAAAAAATATTTTAGAATTTGTTGGTGTCTATGACAGACATGGCTTTGATCAGAATCCCTCAATCTGGATTCGAAAACGCTTGGTTTATTGAATACGAGAATCATCCCTTTGTTTTGGCTATGTATCATTTGTATTTGGCTTGCAGCACCTACTCGAGAACTCTTGTCGTTATGTTATCTGTATTTAGAGTAGTCATGGCTTACTATCCAAAAGACCATATGTATACCAACAACTGGATTGGCTTCTCGTTTGTTATCATATACCCCATGATTCTCTATTTTACTTACCAAGCACCAGTTTTTAAATTTCACTCACAATTAGCTCAATACTTCAGTTCCAATAGAACAGATGCAACATTGGAATTAAATTGGGCAGGTTTCCCGAAGATTTTTCTACGCTTTTATCCTATTTTATAGAAAATAATGATAATCCCAAACTTCCCTTTATCCATGGTACTCCTGTCATGTTGTGTTTTTCTCCTGGCTGTCTACTTGTTCAAATTTCGAGACACATTTTTTGTCCCGAAGGGCTCCAGGTCTAGGGAGAGAAGTTTCCGGAACGAATTGGCATGGACCCTAACTACCGCCGCATGTTTTTATCATTTTCTTGAAGACACTCTTGTGGAGGTTAGTGGATATTTTATAAAAACATATCAAACATGTTTCAACCTGGAAATGTCTTCATCATAATTTCACCAATACAGGTGACCGATAAGTATAGGACGTTTTTTCGAAACCTCCTTGATCCTGCGCCAATTATAATTTTGAAAATTTTTCGAAACGTACAGAAAGTAGAGACCCTATATAGGCAGTGAATCTTGCTATTCGGTATCATTTTGTTTTTTGTTCGTAATTATGAAGACGTCTCCACATCAACCCAGGATTAAGACGTTAAGCAAGAGAGGGTGCATGCTTTGATGTTTCTAGAAACTTGGAATTTTCTCATCAAGTGTCCGAAATGTTTTCGGAATTAACAAAAAGGATCAGAGGGACCTATTAAAGCCGAAGCAGGGACCGTCATTCACTTTGAGCGTTCGCCAGACTCGGGGGACAATCAAACGTCAAATTGAAAGATATAATGGCTTTTGACCTTAGATGCATGGTTCAAAAAATTGTCAAATAGGATTTCAACATTCTCAGTTGTCGCATCTACCGTAAAAAATTCTTATCCATTACATCCGTGGCCCGCAGACTCGAAAATTAAAAAAAAAACTTTTTTACAACCTCCACCTGCGCCGTCTGTCAGATGGGATGTGGGACGACGTAAAGATTTTTACTGATGAAACTCTTCCAAACCGTCGGAAACAGGAACAATTGTTACCAAAAGGTGAGAACAAATCTCCTAAACGTATTTTATCTTCAAACCGTTTTTTTCCATGAAAGTTTCATGGTTTGGGATAGAACCAAGACAAAAGGTACAACTTTTTTGGTTTTTGTTGATTTCAATGTTGAAATCAGGTCGGTCAAAAGTTAGTTTTGATGTAATATTTGTTTCCCTGGACCACTCAGCACTTTGCCGGACGTTTTTGGAATCATAAGACTGAGCACCGTCTTGTGGATCGAAATCCACAATTGCGGTCTTAGACGCTCATGTTCCCAGATACTTCGGCAAAGATTTGAGGCTTGCTAACTCCACGGATTTCTATCCCGTAGACTTCGATTTGTGGAGACTTTCGAAGAGCAAAATTTCAGGAATCTCCTACAGGTTTTTGGAGTTTCTGTGATGTACAGTTCAAAAGTTCTAGGGCGATGTTGGCGTCAACTACCGTCGGCGCACAGCCGAATTTTTATCATGTTTGAAGGTTTCCGTCAAAGCTCAAGTTTCGAACCATGACTACTTGTCATAAAACTAAAATTCTTACATATTTTAAACATTTTTATAGAGTTATTACAGTTAAAAAACGTTTTCTAAAAATGGGAAAGGTTTAGAAACGTCCTATACTTATCGGTCACCCTGTATTTTAACAACTGACAAATTGACAGTGCACGTGTAGGGTGTGTTTCTCTTAGACAAAATACGCTTCATGTCAGTACAAACATTGCGAAACATTCATTACAGTACTCCAAACCACAAAAACGAAATTTTTTAAAAACATGCGTTTTCCACAAACAACATTTTCCTTTCCGTTTGATCACCTTTTCATCAGCAGCTTTTATTCATTCAAGCAGGAAAATTTTCTTAAAGGTGGGGGGACATGAAAAAAATAATGTTCTCGAAATTTCGTTCAAAGATGCCCCTCGAGGAGTTGAACTTGTGAGGGCGATGATTGAGAGTGCGGCGCCGCTACCGACTGAGCCAAGCGGGCAAAGAGAAAGCGCACGCCCGATTGCATACATAAAGGCGAGGACGACAGCTGTACGCAGAGTGACATTAAGCGTTGTACACCATGACGGTAGAATGCATACTCTAGCTACAAAAAAACTACGAAAAATCCCCTGTCCCCCCACCTTTAAAACATTAAAAACAGAATCATAAAGTTCAAACTCCTCAGTAATCACGTCACAATCCAAAAAAGCTTTCAAATTTTACAGATTTTCTCTCATCTATCTCAAGAAATTTTCGGTGATTTGATCTCCATTCTCCCGTTTACTCACAATATTGGAAACTTGTTCATCGCAGTTATTTTTTGGGCTACGCACCCGATATTTGGAAGAAACGGATTAATCAGTACTTACCGTATGGAAACCAGAAATCAGTAAATCGAGCTGATAAACTATATAAATTTTTCCGCTGTTTTCAATCGTTTTCCTTTTTTAAAAAGAATTTTCAATGTTCCTAAAGTTTTTCCCGAATTCCCAAAAATCGGAAATTCGTTTTCCTGAAATTTTTGTTCTGATTTTTTGAAGATGCATTATTACTGATTTTTAATAATTTGAACATCTTTTCTGTAGTTCCTGCGCTCTTTTGTTCCACTTTTTTGCTTACCATTTTTGTAAGAAAAAAAATGAATGTGCGAAATTTTTGTCTGCAATAAATTCGTAACCTTTAAATTTTGAAAAAAATTAAGAAAACCAAGATTTTTGAGAAATCCCGAAAAAAGTGAAACTTATTATTTCGGGTTACGGTATTATTTCGCGCCCAGAAGCATACTTGTAAAATTCCGGGCCAGGCCGGGCCGGGCTTTACTATTAGGAAAATTTCAAGGCCCGGGCCCCTCCCGGAAGGCCCGGTAGCAAAAATATTGTCATTTTGAACCGAATTTTGAGCTCTTAATACAATTTTCTTTTTTTTTCGTGCTTTTTGGATTGTTTGTCTGTTTGATCAAAAATATCAAAAAAAAAACTCGAAAAAAATTTTTTGATAGAAAAAAATCACATAAGAGTCTCCCCTTTTTTGAAATTTTCAAAACTTGTGGAATGACAGGCCCGCTGGGCCGGGCCGGGCCTCCGAAATTCGGGAAAAAGCCCGGCCCGTTACAAGTTACAAAAAGCCCGGTGAGTAAAAGTGCGCGAATTCAAACTTCACCGGGCGGCCTAGAAAAAAAGCTCGTCCCTAAGGGCTTTCAGCGTATTTTCCGATGTGTTTTTCTCGATGAAGGAATTTTTTTTAATTTTTTCTTTATTTTTATGCCAAACTACATGCCTTTCTGCACATTTTGATGCAATAAAAAATTTCACCGTACACCACCTTTAAGGCTAACATCAGAAAATCTTTCTCGCTCTTTGAAAACTACCTGAAATTTCGGAAAAAAAAACACAACACATTAATCTCATTTGTTTATTCGAAAAAAATTTACTTCACAAGTTATTATTTCTTTCTACACAATATTGGTTTGAATTGGATCATCGTATCATTTGGTTCGTTGATTCCTGTGAAGTCATCATTTTTGAATTATAAAATTTACTTTCAGATACCGAAAACACTTTGACCTCCTTATTTCTAACTTTGAGCAAATTTATCTCGGTTTATGTAAAAGATACGAAAAAGTGGTCAACTGGTAAAACATTTTGCATATGATAATAAACATCTTGCCAATTAGCCATTTTTGGTATCTTTCACAGAAAGTAAGATATTGCCGCTCAAAGTTGAGGGTGTAGTAGAGAAGGAGGATATTATTACTTGATTCTACTTGAGTGACTACGGTAATTGGAAAAATATATATGAAAAAAATCCTTACCTGATATCCTCAGGTAGTTGGGAAACATTCTATCATTGGTTGGAAGCTGATGAGCTGAAATCTTTCGAAATGTGTTAGAAAAAACATTTAAAAACTCACAACAAGATTTTACAAAACCAAGCTTTGTTTCAAAAATTCGATTGCCATTAGAGCGGCGACGAGATGAAACCTTCCAAAATGCATTGGGAAAACGAGAAAAATTCACAAAACGAGAATTTATTCATTATTACTTTTTGAGATCCTTTGTGTGATCTGAAAATAAGAAAACTAATTTGAGAAATTATAATTTGTCAGAAACTTACAAGGGAAAATTAATGACCCGTTGGAATTTTGATGATCTCTGAAAAAGTTCAATACTCATTAAAATAAAGATGATTGATATATTTTTCGACTATTATATTTTTCATAGACTGGCGAAATAAATATTTCTCTTTTTTTTTTAATCTTTTACAAAGTTTTCAGTGAAAATAAAGTGTTTTCACTTACTTTAAACGTCGTGGCACGTTTTATCAAAAAAACATCCATCCATAGGTGGTGCATTTCTTTCCATATGTGTCGCAATTTTAACAATATAAGGTACAGAAAGGGGAATATCAGAAAAATCAATTAAAACATTTTAGACTCTTTCACACAGAGTCAGGTAAGCACAAAAATAACATGTATAGATAGGAATGAATCCGGTTTGTTTAGGCTCACATCAGATAAAAATTAGAGAAAAAGAAAAACCATAGTGTAAAGAGCATTATAGAGTGGGCACTTAAATCATTTTACACTCTTTGAAAGATCTCACGAAAACGAGAGAAACAGATATTTTGTGCAGATGAACTATTCGACCAATGAAAAAAAAACATGTGGCGTTTGTTAATAACACTGAAGAAACTGATGCATTACGATGTGCTCAGAGAGCCATATGTTCGAAAATCAATAAAATCCTGAATGCAAAAAAAAAAAATAATTGCTCGTCAACTGAGAAATTTTAGTCCAACTAGGTGGAAACGAAAAACAGGGAAAACTGTTGTAACCATCAGAAACACCCCCCAGCAGTCGTACTTCAAGCTCAATTACCTCGATTCTTTCAAGAGATATTGAAAATTTTTCAATAAATAAAATGTTTGACATAATATTATCAACATTTTTTCAGTTTACACATTTTTGATAGCTGTGATGGAAACCAAGATAATTGACCTTGCAGCAAGGCTATCGAGGTTGCAGCGCCGTCAGGCTTAAGACAACTTTGAGTTTAATTATCTCAGTTCTTTCCAGAGATATCAATAACCTGTCTATTGCTAAAACGATTGACATATTATTACCAACATTTTATTCAATAACACATTTTTGATAGCTCTGATAGAAACCTAGATAATTTCCCGCAAAACAAGGCTATCGAAAATGCAGCGATGCAGCGGCAGTCAAACCAACATAAACTTTAAGCTCAATTTTCGCTGTTCCGTCTGGAGTTGTTGAAAATCTGTCAACTGATATAATCTTTTGCATAATATCACCAACTTGTTATTAGTTGACACATTTTTGATAGATCTGATAGAAACCAAGATAACTGAGCTCAAAGCAAAGCTATGGAGGGTGCAGCAAAGGCCAAACGAACATCAACTTTGAGCTCTATTTTCGCGGTTCCGTCCGAAGGTAATGAAGATCTGTCAACTAATCACATGTTTTTATCTCCAAAAATTTTTCAGTTTACACATTTTTGATAGTTCTCATAGAAATCTAGATGATTGATCTCAAAGCAATGCTATCGGGATAAACGGCCGTCAAGACCAAAGACAAGTCAAGACCAAGGATATGGTTTCAAAAAAGAAAAAGCATTTTTCTTTCTGGGATGCCGAAAAGCCACTATTGGTGGTATTTTTTTCGAAAAAATAGTCGAAACTCAAGAAGTGTTCCTTTTTTGGTCTTTCTGCTAACGATGAAATGATTTAAACATACTTAGTAAGCAAAATTTTATTAATGGGGTTATTCAGAAAGAAGCAAACCAACAAATTTTTGGAATTCAAACGCAATCGAACGAGGGGAGAGGAGATGATGAAAAATTATCAATAAATAAGAAAAATTAAGACGAAAGGGAGAATGAGCGATTAGTTTGTATGACGATCATCAACTAATGCTGGAGATAATACTGATTTGTTGAAAATGGAGAAAGAGATACAGTAGGAACGAAAGCAGAGAGTATCTGATGACGTTGAATTAAAGAAGGCTACGAGGCAAAAAAAACAGAAACCGCAACATTCGAAATATCAATAACTGGTTCTGTACTCAAATTGATATTCAGCCAAATTCTCATAATCTTCGGATCGCCGATAATATTTCTCGTAGTGTTTATCGATGAATTTATTGAATCCTCCGAGTCCGGACATGATGAACTGAAAAATGTATTTCTTTTTGAAATCAATTGTGTCAATAGAAAAACCATAGAATCACTGGTAATCTGATAAGAAGAAAAATAAAAACAAACCTCTATAGAAGCTCGCTCCTTGGTGAACAACTCATAAATTCCTTTCATTTTCTTTACACACCGACCAAGATGAATGATTCCGTAGTACTGGGAAGGATTATCTCCGTATTCGTCGAGTTCTGGATATTCCCACTCTTCGAGAACTCCGTACATCCATCTCCTGGAAAATTGAGAAATAAGACATTGTATTTTAAATTTTTCTATATATTTTCATAAATTCGAGATGCTCATTGTGAGCAAACAAGATCAAATCCTAAAGCACTAATTTTTTCGGGTGTTCAATTTTAAATCATTCGAAAAATATCTACTTTCAGGCCATTCTTCCAGCTATAAAAAATCCTTTCAACGGTCTGGGGCGGGTGTTTTTCAGAATTTTTCTGGTTTCCAGGATTTTCTTTTCAAAAATTTTTTTGAGTCAATCAAAAAATATGAACCAGAATTATTTTTTATAACTTGCTTTCGAAAATTTTTTGAAAACTTCATAATTTTTTCAAAAATGAAAACCAGGGCTCACACTCCCGGGTACGAAAAAACGTAAAACTCACTTCATGTTGCTGTTAAAATGATCTACAAGAGCCAAGACCGACGGAGCCCACTTTTGGATATGTGCTCTTGTTATCCTTTGATTTTTGTTGAATCTACGAAGTGTGCGAACGTACTGAAAATGATGAAAATATTAAGTACGATTTTCTCGAGAAAAAAAACTCACATCATTAACAATTTCATTTATTGGCACTCTGCATGGCATCTTGATACGAATGTGGTGTCGAATTCTCAATTTTCTATCATCATCTTCAATGCGTCTCAATCGTCTTGACATCACAAATTTATCTAGTGTAAATTCCTCAATAACCTGCTTGGCTGCGCTTCTTCTTGCTCGTGGGCCTGAAATTTCCACCGCTCCTTCGATTTTTATTGGGGAATGCTTCCTCTTCCTCGACTTTTTTGGTTCCACTACGGGAACTGGAACGTTCTCGACCTTAACTTCCACTTCATTTTCTTGAGCTTCTTCTTCTCCTTCAACTTCTTCTTCCGCTTCAACTTCTTCTTCTTTCTCAACTTCTTCTTTCTCAACTTCTTCTTCCTCAACTTCTTCTCCCTCCACTTCTTCTTCCTCTATTTCTTCTTCATCCTCTCCACCTGCTTCTTCGTCCTCCTCAACATCTTGTTCATTTTCTGCAGTTTCTTCTTCTTTTTCATCCTCCTGATTTTCATCTTCTCCATTATTTTCCACCTCAACGTTCTCCTCCTCTTGTTGCTCATTCACTCCATATTTTTCATTATATTCTTGCAATGTTCCTTTAAACATTTTTCCTTCCTCTTTTCCCACCTGCACTCTTATATTGGACCTTTCACTCCAGCCTTGGAAGTGGACGATGTAGAATGTTCCTCTATAGGAAGTTCTGATGCGCCTTATTTTTGCCTCATAAGCAATGCCCTTTTCGACGCACACAAATTTTTCGCGAGATGCGAACATTGTCATTTTCTGTAAATTATTTCGTTAATCATTGCAAAGAGAGAAATAAGAGAACAACAAAAATGTTGGGAACGGTGCGCAAATTCAATTAAAAAGTATCAAAAATAAATAAATAAAATTTCAGGAATTTTGAAAAATTCAGATGATATTTAAGTTAAAAGTTTAGGGAGTTCATGAATTCGAGATTCATAAAAATTTTTCACAGTATTTCCTTTAACAGATCCCATAGGCTTCTATTTTTTAACCTATTTCTCAGGGTGGGCTTCTATTAGAGGTGGGCTTCCATTTTTCAATGATTCAAAAATTTTTATTCAAAAATTCAGAAATTTGACAATTCGGAAGATGACTTCTGAAACTCAGTGTTTCGGAGAATTAGAAATTGTCATTCTGCCTTTCTAAACTTCGAAATTCCGAGTTTATGGAATTCTGAGATTCCAGGATCTCAAAATTCAAAATTCAAGAATTCTGGAATGTCGAAAAACGATTCTAAAATTCTAAACATCTGAAATTCCGAAATTTAGACATTTGAAAATTGAGAAGTTGAGAAATTGCCGAAATCACAATTTCAAAAATTCTGGAATTTCGAATTACCGTATTATCTCTAATAGAAGCTCATGCGCTTCTATTAGAAAGTACGCTTCTAGTTTTCAAAGCACCCCGCGGGGCGAGCTTCTATTGGAGGTGGGTTTCTATTAGAAGAAAAACGGTAGATTAATTTAGAAAAAAATTCATTCTGAAAAGCCAACATTTTTAATCTTCCGAAAATCGGGACAAATTGTGATTTTTAAATCTAAATAAACTAAAAATAAGCATGTTTGTAATTCTTCTTCTCAAAAATTCAGAATATGGAGTCGGAATAAACATAAATCGAGAAACAAGAAATACAGACATGTCCTTGACACAACGTTGCGTCTTCAAACAGTGTAAAAGACAATGTACCAAGAAAAAAGAGGCGAGGTGGCCAGAGTAATGTTTCACCTCTTTTCTCCCTCTCTTCGTTTTCCCGCGTAAAAATATTTAAACATTCGAAAGAGACTTCGCAGGGAAGACGCAAAGAGAGAGGGAAAAGAAAGAGAGAGAGTGACGAACAACGTTTGAATTTTAGAGCGTGTCAGATAACAAAAGAAAAGAAAAGGCAAAGTTTGCTAGGAAACAAATTTTATAAGTGAAACAAATGAAAAAATGAGAAAAGTTTGGGGAAAAAATGAAGGAAAACTTTGTGGTCCAAATAAAGCAAGCTGCTTGTTCAGAAAAAATCCAAAACGGAGACAAAAAATAATTTTGGGCCTAAAAAGTTTTTTCTGCTCTTCCTATACACACACACACACACACACACACACACACACACACACTCGCGCGCGCAGGCACGCAAACGAAAATGTCATATGTCTGCGTCTTTTTCAGTTGTCCATCGCTTTTTCTTTCTTTTTCTGCACCTTCTTTTTCTCAATTTTTCTATGGAGTTTTCTTTGTTCGAAAAAAGTAGATTCTAAGCTTAAAAATTGGTTAATTCAAAGTTTTTTTCTGAGTCCTGCTAGAAACCTGATCTGATTAATTGGAAATTTTGAATCTATCTCTATTTGGGAATTAAACTTGTGCAAAAGAAACGGCAAATGAGCGCAATAATAACGAGAAAACCGGTTTGTCACACAAATCCGGGTAGGAGAGGTGTAGGACCACATCGATTGGACAGACAACATTAAGACTGTGGACCACACTGGAGGTGCGCAGTTGCAAATGTCTTGTGGGATAGAGCGAGAGGAGACACTGCAGAGTAATTTACATGTGTGATTTGTGCAATTATAGATATTATCGTACTTAATATGGCCGAGAAGATAATAAGTCGAAAAAAAAGAATCCCTGGGACATTTGCAAATGTACATTCATCAGGTTGAGAAATATTAGTGTTCCAATAGAGATCTAAATAACAAGCGTTCTGTTTTATGCGTTGGCTGGGTCAGCAGTTGTCACTCAGAAGTTATATTTTTAGTATAACATTAAAAACTTTGTGAAATTATTTTATTCTTTTCATTTCGTTCCGTTGTGATTCTAATCTCTTTTAAAAAATCACGGAGAAGACGTTGCCATCTGTCTCTCTTTCCACACAGCCTTGAAAACGATCACCTCTTCTTTCCCCCACTAGCAAACAATCTACGCCGAAAAAGCGATCCCCCCTCGTGTCTCTTAATTTCTTTTACTCTCTAACGCTGGCAGTTTTCTGATCGCACGTTAGTTATTTGCAGTTTTCCGTTTTTCGTATTTATCCCATTACTCCTGCATTTACACCAGCTATTCTTTTCTTCTTTTTTACTTGAATTAACTTGAACTCACCTAATTTTTAAAAATTTTCTAGAATAACACTCGTGAAATAATCTATTTTTTTCATGCAGGCGATTTTATACTCTTTTTACTAAGATTTTGGCAGTTTAAAAACTTCAGGACTCAGTTTTTGTAGCTGACAATTTTTTCGTACAGACAATTGCACAAAAAGATTAAAAATATATAAATGATTTGTCTTTTTTACCAGTTAGTCTTCGAGAATTTTGATTCTTGCTGTTACACTTATTTTCTTCTTTTTTCCCTTCAGTGATAAGCAATATGTTCCTTTTTCAGATAATGAATCGCAATCCAGCTCCACGAGTCGTTGCTCTACCGCCAGAAGCCGATGAAGCATTTCCAGAAGCCGCTCCTCCTGCACTTCCATTTCCTCGCCCAACAATGAAGCACATTATACACTATTCAGTTCTGAATTACAATATTAACCCAACTAAACAACTCGTATTGATCCGGACGGGTAACTTAGAAATATACATGCATAAAGAACACCGGCGATTTGTTCCCATAAAATATGACACACGGGAGGTATGTTCGAAAAAGCATTTTTTGAAAATAGAATATTGTAATTTCCAGCCATATGCCGAAGATATCCTCCTTCCATTGGGCATGACGAACAATTTTGCCAGATGGACAGTAAGTTTTTTTATTATTCTGAAATTTGTTAAGAAAATTGAAAAAAAAACAAATAAATACCGTATTTGCTGTAATAGAAGCCCACCATATATGTGCACTTCAAGCTCAATTATCTCGATTTCTTCATAAGATATAAACAAATTTCCAATTGATAATTTATTCATCATGAGATGACCAATATTTTATCTGTCGACAAACTTTTGATAACTTTCATAGGAACCGACATTATTGAGCTTGAAGTGCATGGGCTGGGTTTCTAGTAGAGAAAATAGGGTAGTCTCTTACCTTACTCATAGATTTGCAAAAATCCAGAAAAATATTTAAACGAGAATTTTTGAAATAATAATGAAAGAATTCCTAGAAGCTATTTGATATTTTCATGAAAATTGTTTAGGTATGTACAAATTTATCCGCATTTAGAAAAAAAACGCAACTTGCTTCAAATTTACAACTTCTCATATTATTATAATCAGTTTTCGAAAAAAAAATTTCATCTGTTATCCGTTTTCAGCCCGCAGACGTCAATAGCTGGGCCGATTTGATCATCCCTAATCGGCGAGAATACCAAGAATTCATTAGTTACGAACTAAATGGTCTTCAAGTCTACAATATCGTCACAAACCAAGGTGCAGCGGGAGAAACCTACCTCAGAACTCTCTCCGCGGAACGTTACGTCGATGTTAACATTGCGTCTACAAGAATCGGAAGACTTCCAGAGCGAGTTCTTTTTGCATTGACCATCCATTTCAACAGACTCTTCAATCTTCTACACGGTTTTCGATGATTATTCATCTTTTACTAATTTCTTTATTTATTTATTTATCTATTTTTGTCTATATATGTATCCAACATCTCAATCCAATTATCATTTCAAACAGATAATCTAACCTGGTTACATTTTGATCTTCTCCTTTTTTCGTCATTTGGCATTCATAAAACCAGCTCTTGCGTTTCTTCTTCCACGGATTTCCTTCCTGACTCTGCTCACAACATCAGATTCTAAATATTGCGCACATTCATTTTTCTCATTCCTCTCTTTTGCCTTTCTTATCTTATCAGTAAAAAGTTGTCCAGTTGTCCATGTCGAAATAAAGTTCCTACACATCTCGAAAAAATGGAAAACCATGGAAAATATTTTGAAAAATACTAGAAAATGATAGAAAAACAATTGTCTAAAGACGTAAGATTGTTGGTGTGACCAGATGATCCGTATAGGTTTTATTTTTAAAAAATGTTTATACAAACCATTCTTCTAGTTGATGATATATGTATTATGAAGATCATTGAAAAAAAAACCAATGCCATATTAATTTTTTTTGAGAGGGTGGTTGGTGACCGGTGAGCCTACAACATGGCGTTCACAAAAATACATGCAGAATTGGATTGATTGGAAAAATAATAGGACGTACCGTAAAACCTGCAATAGAAGATCTCCACACTATCAAGTTTGAGCTCAATTATCTCAAAAACTATGCAAAATATCAAAAAGTTGTCATCTGATGAAATATTTTCAATTTTATGATAAACATGTTATCAGTTGACAACTTTTTCATACCATTCACAGGAAATGAGAAAAACTGGCTTAAAGTTAAAAGGGAGGGGCCCTTCTATCACAGGATTCACGGTAAAAAGAAACAAGAAGTGAGGTGTGATGTAAAGGGTACAATAAAAGTAGACAGAGGGACAAAAAATTATTGCTACACTATACATAATCATGGAATAGATTTTTGGAAAGAGTCACATAATTTTTAAAAATTGTTGATCACGTTTCATGTGAATATGGCCTACAAAAAAAAAGAAGCTCCGATTTCATAAAAACCGGCAGTTATTTATTGAAAAAAAAGACTAGTTTGTAATATAATTGTATACCGTAAAACCTGTATTAGAAGGGCCGGCTATTGTTCCAAGGTACCTCCGAAGGGCCCTTCTATTACAGGGACCCTTTAATTAGAGAGGGGCTTCTATTTTTCAGGACAGTTTTTCCAAAATTTCGCATCGAAAAAGTCGACGAAATTTTGTTCAAAATTCATGAAAATCTGTCAATTTCACCGAAGTTTAGCAAAATTTTTATCGAAAAAGAGAGCTTTAACAAATTTCTATTAAATTGTGGAGTTCCCGGAATATTTTCCACTGAAATAGAACTGAAATTTTCTGTTTGCAAAACATATTTTTGCAGGGGTGGTCTTTTTTCACAGAGGGCCCTTCTAATACAGGTTTTACGGTATTTTTGAATCTGAATTTGTGACTTAATTTGTGAAGTAGTTGATACGAGAGTGACGAGAACGAGTGCGTGGAGTTCTTGGAGCTGAATGATCAGTTATCAAACGGGCGCTGAAAAATACACAAATTATAAAAAGGAGTTGGCTATTTTTATTGAGTTTTTCATAACTCAAAGTCTAATGGAATCTTTTGGTAAAAAATGAACAAATTATTTGCGCCTCGACTGGCTGAGCTGAGTTTAGATATTGGTTGCCTTCGGGTGGTCATCTAGTCAAAAACCTTGTCTTCCTTGTGTTGAATTTTTTATTATATTAGGTTGTTCGGAAAGTCCTTTCCATTTTTGGCTTTAGATACGTTCAATGTAAAAAAATCAAAACGATGTCGGAAGAATTGGAAGTAATAACCATTGTTATCAATGACAGTCTGCCAACGTTCTATTAAATTGTGAATTCCTTCCTTCCAGGACTCCGGTCACAGCAAGTTGAAAATCAAGTCAACCCATTTTTGATATCCTGTTTTGAAGTGAATTTTTGTCAATCAAGATGACGTTAGAAATGGTTGGATAGGTAGTATTCAGAAAGTAAAAGGTTAGAGCTATACAGTGAATAAAACAGAATTCTCTAGTCACATCCAGCGAGATCGGTGTGCGTCTTCCTTCCCGCATGAGGTTGCGGATTCCAATTTTCAAAATAAACGTTTGTGTATCTCTCTAATGGAGATCCACATGGAGTCTGACTTATGTCACCTGACAAGAATAGGTATCGGTCGTAAAAGTGACACTATCATCTGGCAGCTCCCAATACTCCATTCCTTGGTAGACCACCTTACCGACAACATCTCATTTTTAACATGAATTTCACGTTTCGGGACGTCTGGTGGTTGAGCGCTTTTGTCAACCCACTTGGTTTGTAGTTTATTGTAATCATACATTACCCATTAATCACCACTAGTAATGATTTGATTCCAATCATCATGTGTGCAACGCAGGATGAGAAGATTCAAACGGGTGCCCACACGTGAAACAAAGTTGCGTTGAGACAAAATGTGTGGTCCGTATCTTCCCATTTTTCTGACTTTGCCGAGAGTGTCCAATTTATGGCTTTTTGACAAAAGGCTTGCCACTGATGTACTTTATATATCCCACACAGTTTGAGACGGGTCCCTCTCGATCCCGGCTTTTAATGCATCCAATGGTAGTTCGAAAGGGTACATCTTCTTTGTTAACCACCACTAATTGGCGATCGATTTCAGCTAATTTGAGATCAGATAGAAATACAAATAAAATGGTTGTTCAAAAATGGAAAGTACTACAGGCGAAAACGGTAGGCATATCTTACTACACGAAAAGAGGAGAATGATCTCCGTTGGGGTGTAGACACTATCAGACCCCACCAACATACTCATAAAACGACAGCTTCCTCGCTTTTACCCCGTTCGAAAAGACAAAGTTTGAAAACAACAGATCAAAAATGGAAAGGACTTTCCGAACAACCTAATACATTCATTTAAAAGCAAACTCACTCAGTTGGCTTCCATCTGATTCTGTAGCCGGGTCTCACTAATCTTGTTACGATGTTGGTTGTTTATCGAAGCCAACTCTGTATTTTGAGCTGCAAGACGAGTTTTTTCATCTCTTTCTCCACCAAGTTCGTTGGTAAGACGGTTGTTTTCCGCAGAGAGCCGATTTCTGAAAGCTATAGTATTTTTGCTGAATTTCGTTGTTGTATTTTGGCTTTGAAAATATATAAGAAAAAATCACGAACGAAATCAGTATGACGCGGTCTTCGGTTTTTTGTTCTAGACGAGCTATTGAAATATTTCAAAAACTTACATTTCATCATCTTTTGACCTCCCTGCTTGCTCTAATTGAGCGATCCTCTCTCTCAGTTGATCCATTTCGGTGTGGTTAGAGTCGATCTCAGCGAGAAGTTGTGCTGTTAAAGGTGCTAAGTCAGTTTCCACTTCAAGCCTAATTTGTGCCACTGACGTGGAGGCGTTATCTTGAAGTGTAATGTCGGCGATAATTCTGAAAAAAATATGATTTTAAATTACTCGAAACTGATCTTACCTCTCGTAACCCCGGTCAAAGTTTGAAAAGATGTCGTCGATTACGAAATGGATGCTGAAACAAAAGACTATTCGAGTTTTGAGAAACTAACTTGAAACAAAATATTGCAACATTTACAAAAAATTGCGGTATCTCTCCAGGTGAACTATAATATCATATCAAATGTTATCGGTATACTGCACAACGAAGATAGTATGAGAAAAACCCCCCTAACGCTAATGATAAGGAACATTTCTCATCATTAAAACATACATTTGACGCGGAATGAACGATTCCTCAAAATAGTACAAATATCTCAATTATGATAAATTGAAAATTTTATTATTAAAAGGAAAACAAAATTTTGTTGATTCAAAGACGATGTTTGATTTCATTGAATGAGCGTTTCTTTTCATACGAAATAACATTATCTTGAAGTTTTCAGCATAATTTTTAGCTATCAGCATGCGTTGCAGCCATTAGCTATCATCAAGCGTTTCAGCCATCAGCTATCAGCATGCGTTTTAGCAATCAGCTATCAGCATGCGTTTCACCCACCACCACCCGATACAGGCCACGTCAAAGAGTTATTTAGTGAAACATCAAAATTGGAATCAATCGTGAGAAGGAATCAATCGTGATTAACTTTGCTTTGGGGAAAACCTTCGCGCTAAAGTTAATAAGGAATATTCAAATAAAAAGGGACATGATGATGTTGCAAGTGTTCAAGGCACTCTTGAGCTTTGGTAGCTCAAAATGTCTATTGGTTGGATATTATGAGAGTATGCTTCCTCAATTAGGAGGCAACAATTTATCAACTTATAATCCAAAAACGATTATGCGTGTCTGAAAAAAAAGGTTAGAGAGTATTTTTTGCAGTCTAAATACGGTAGGGATATCGAAGCAGCGAGCCTAAATAGCACATACTAGGTGGAGACGCAGACAGTTCATAACCTTTTTTTTCTCAGACACGCATAATAAGAATATGCAATTGTGTGAAGTTATTACGAAAACGGTATTCATTTAAATTTTGATTTTAGTTCAGTATGTTCGCGGTTTTCGAGCTCCCAGCTTTAAATCTCTAAAGTGGGCTTATAATTATCGTATTTTCTCTAATAGAAGCCCATGTGCTTATATTTTACCACCTTTTATTTAGGGTGGGCTTTTATTAGAGGTGGGTTTCAATTAGAGGGTGTGCTTCTATTTTTTAATGACCTATTCTCAAAAAAAATATTCTAAATTTCAGAAATTTGACAATTCGGAAGTTAAGAATTCTGAAATTTAGTGTTTTGTAAAATTCGAAATTTTCATTCTGCAATTCTAAATCCCAAAATTCCGAATTTATGAAATTCTGAGATTCCAAGGTCTCAAAATTCAGAAATCAGGAATTCTGAAATATCGGAAAAAAAGTTCTAAAATTTTAAAAATTTGAAATTCGACGTTTAGAAATTAGAAAATTCAGAAATCGTGAAATTGTTGAGTTCTAAAATCACAGTTCCAAAAATTGTGAATTACCCTATTTTCTCTAATAGAAGCCTGTGTGATTCAGTGTATCTAGTTTATCTAGCATTTTTTAATTTTTGTTATGATTCTGCTTTAAAATTTTCAGAAACCCCCATTGTGAAAGCAATCTGCGAAAGAAAAAACCATACTTTAAGAAAGAGAAAAAAAAAAGAAAATTAGTACCACTTACTCCATAGCGACTGAGCTATTAGATTCACCACGTTCCAGTTTGAAACACACGAGAAGCACACGGTCGTCCTATTTTGAGACACTGTGGTGTGTTCTGAAATGCTGAGTTTATTAGACAGACAATCAAATAATTACTCCGTGCCTGTTTCTTTTTTCGATTTTTCAAAAAGTATTAAATGTGATAAATAAATTCTAAACGTAAAATGAGTTTGACTGACGAAAATTTCCTAGTGTATAAAAGATTTAAAAAAAACACAGTAAGTTATTATACAAAGCAAGATTTCCATGAAGATTAGACAATAACAAATAAAAAAATAACGGACCTACAACTAGCCAGAAACCTCCCGCTCTCCTCGCCACTGCACCTGTTTTCGCAGTTCTCTTCACGCCGCCCGAGTTTATACAGGGTGGCGCATAATCACTCGGACCCATATAAACGGGTATATCTTTCGGCATGAGTATCTTGGAAACAGGAAAATTAGTAGAAATATAATTTTACGTTTGAATCAAAGCTGCTAAAAACTTGAAAGCGTTTCCTCAATTCTAAGTATTTTTATGATCGTCCAAAGATGATCGGCGCATTATTTCTTGCACGGCCGTGTTTTCAGATTTGTATCGATGTAACTCCGTGCTACACATCACAATTTTGCTGAATTTTCATCTTTTTGTTGATATTTTTGATGCGAATACAATGAAATATTAACATCGCAAGAACCCAAAAGCCTAAATTTGAAGCTGTTAGATCAATTTAGCTCAAAACCCAGAAAATTTCATAATTTTGACCTCTTTGGAAAACTGGTAGCTGCCAATTTGAATATTTTCCTAGCAATATAATATTTTCACAGGTGATTATTGAACAGTTGGTTTTGGCACTCATGTAATTTCAGCCACTCATTATCTCTCCTACAGTTTTTTAGGGCTAGGCAAAGTTGAGCTAAAATACAGAAAAGCCGCGTGCCACCAAAGCTTATTTTCATGAGATGAAGAAACTTTGACAAGCGATAACTCAGCTCAAATATGATGAAATAGTTTGAAACTTGGCTAGTTTACTGATGAGGTATGTGAGTTGTTGCTCTCAAAATTTGAGCCCAGTTTAACGCTTCACTCAAATTTTATGATCGAAAAACTCGAGTCCGGGTAATTATGCGCCACCCTGTATAACACGGTATTGCTAATTCTAATTTCTTCTATTATTTTTGTATTTCATCTATGATGACGCGTGTTCTTTTAAAATTAGCAATAAAATACCTATCAATATTCGTTTCATTTAGAGAGGGTGCGTCATAAACTCACTGATTTTTTTGGGACGTCAAAAATGATATGTATTGTGGTAGCCTTGAAATTAAACGCTTCTTTAACGTGTTATGTATCTTTACTATTAACAAACACCAAATTCTGTGTGTGTGAGTGTGTCCGTTTGTTCCCGGTTAGCGTAAGCTAGCGAAGTCACCAGTAGACCAAAATTTCTCAAATTTTCACAGACAATCCGAAATAGCAGCGAGATGACGCCCCCACTTTCCGTTCTTCAAATAATTGATTTTGAAGCCTTCTGGCGACGTTCATTGGTTTCAAAAAAGGGTGGTGGAACTTCCCCCTGGGAAAGAGGGCGAGGGCGAGAGGAGGAGGAAAGAACGACAGTGTATGCGCCGTCTCCACCATCATTTCAATGTGGTCCCGTTGTGTAGTGGTTCTAACCGCGCGACGAGGGTTCGTGTCCGACGGGTGCAATTTTTTTTTGTTTTTTGTACAGGACTCAGAAATGTGTAAGAATGTGTGAAAATGATTTTCTCATTATCTTAAGTGAAATAAGATTTCGAAGTTTCCCAATTCGGTAACTGTCAAGCAGGCTTGGTCGGAATCGGAAAATCGAGTTCTCGATTTTTCTGATTTTCCGATTTTTTTTTCGGAAATTTTTTTCCGTCGGAAAATTTTCCGAAAAATATTCGGAAAATTTTTTCTCGAAATAATCATGCTGCGTTCAAAGTGAAGAGGAAATCTCTACTTTGTATAGTTGAAACGGGTGCAACAGTAACCCAAGCGCGGCGAGACCGGCAATCGGTGTCGATTTACGGGGTCGATTTAAGGTGAATTTTTTTAAAATTAATTTTTTTTTGAATGAAAACATACTTTAATCAGAGTTTTCATTACTTTTTCATTTTTTTTTTGACATTTTTTTTTCGGTTTATACTGTTCTTAATAGACTTCCTTTATTTTTCAGTGATTTTTTACCTTTTTCAGACTTTAGGTCATCAAAAGTTTTTCTTAAAATTGTTGGTTTTGCAGTGAGTAACTTTGTCTGAATTTAACGAAATTTTCAGACTAAACATGGGAAAACACTCAGCGGTATTGACAAATCTGGCGGATGGAAGGAAAAAGTGTAATATTTGCAACCGATTCTTCAACGAGCAGAAAGACTCCGGCACAAATTTGTATCGATATATTGTGCTTTTTGTTGCTTTTGTTGTTTTTGTCAAATACACTGGTAATTTTTGACTAATTGAAATTCGAGAAAATTCGAGAACTCGATTTTCCGAAAAAAAAAGTCGAGAAAAAATTCGAGAACTCGATTTTCCGAAAAAAAAAGTCGAGAAAAAATTCGAGAACTCGATTTTCCGAAAAAAAAAGTCGAGAAAAAATTCGAGAACTCGATTTTCCGAAAAAAAAGTCGAGGAAAAATTCGAGAACTCGATTTTCCAAAAAAAAAAGTCGAGAAAAAATTCGAGAACACGATTTTCCGAATTTGTTTTTCCGAACAAGCCTGCTGTCAAGTCGATAACAGAGTTTAGCTATATTTCTGAATCTTTAAACCTTTTAAAATTTTTGAACTTCAGTTTTCTAATATGTGAATTTTGGAATACCGCAAAAACTGTATCAAAAGATCCCATTTAATAGAAGGATCCCTCAGGAGAAAGGCAATACCGGAGAGATTAGAAAATTTTCAATCGAGTAAATTTCAATTACGCTGATAGTTGTTAAAAAAATTAAGACATTAACGAGATTCAGAAATTTGAGAATATCTCAACTTCTTAATGTTCAAATTTTTTAACTTCAGAATTGGAATTTTTCAGAATTTAAGAGAGGCACAATTCGGGAATTCCGAATTCTGAAATTGGAATTCATGAATTTCTAAATTCGGAAAAATTTAATTTCCGAATTTCGGAATTGGAGTGTTTCAGAAACGTGCAATTTCACATTTCGAAGTTTTTTTAAAAACTATTCTGAACTTCTGAATTTTCGAACTTGAAATGTTCAGAGAAGTTTTTTCTGATTTTTTTCCTTAAAGGAGGCGAGACATTAAAGAAAACTTGTTCGGATATTTAGCCTAGAGAACCCCCAGGAGGAGTTGAACAAATGACACACAGCTCAAGTGTGCAGCGCCGCAACCGGCTGAACTACGGGGGCGCAAAGGCTGACCACTTAAACGCGACGCGATTTCGTCCCACAAACTGCCCCCCCCCCCCTCTCCCAACGTTTCGTTGTCTCGCCTTCTTTAAGGGTATTCCAAGCGGAAGCTAAAAATTAATTACTGAATTAAAGGTTTTTGAAAGTTAACACCACATTCAACTACAGATTCATCTTCTATTTCTCTCCAGTTTTGAGATTCTAACATTTTGAGTGAAGCCAGGAGATTGTAGCCGCCGACAGGCGGCGGAAATCGACTGGTATCAAAAACAATAGTGTTTTTTGTTCGGGGTGAAGGATCAAGACATTGCAAAACTATATAGACTTATTTCTTGCTAGGTGTAATTTAAACATCAATGATGTCGCGTTTAAACATAGCAAAACTGATTTTTTTTCAAATGTCAAAAATTGACAAATGATATTATAGATTCGAAGTAAAGCGCGTTTAATTTTAACGTTTGTCTGTCTTATACTATCACTGAAAGGCTGCCTGTAAAGGAAATAGCGGTTGTTATATTGTTCAAAAATTGCTAATGCCTAATTTTTTTCTCAGATTTATAGTAGTTCTATAAATCACTCAGACTGAATGAACGAATTGAAAATTTTTAAACAATTATTGCTCATTCGGTTTTTGTAGAAAAATAAAACATCTTGGCGGAGCTAGTAAAAATGAAAATGAGGAAAATAAAAAAATATTTTCAAAATTCGAAACTTCCATAAGAATAAATTTAAAAGAAAACAAAAAAACGAACCTACAACTTATCAGTTATTTCCCTAATCGCAACTGTTTGTTGAGAACTCACGGATTTATATCAAACTTTATAAATTGGTTAATAATGTGACAGCCTTGTGCTAAGACGCATTTAAACTTGACGTTTGTGTCTTATATCACTGAAAAACTGCCGCTGGATGTGAAGAGAAAGGCATTCCTTTTCTTGCTGAGAAATTGCTAATGCTAAATTTTCCTCAGTTTTGGAGTTTCTATACAATTCCTCAAATCATTCCATAAACTGTTATCAAAATTTTAACTGAATAGTTTAATTGAATATTTTAAAAATTGAAAAAATTGAAAAAATTGAAAAAAATAAAACTAACGTAAAATAATTGCTTGCAATTGTTCAATGCGAGAAGTCCAACCACTTGGCCGCCCATTCCTCATCCTTGTTTTCTAAGAGATGGTCATATAGCAGGCCAATTGATAAGAAAAACGAAAAGGCAAGAGAAGTGAAAATATATATATAACATATAGGGAGCTTGGTAACTTGATTTTAAATTTTTTGTCGTTTTCAGTAGACGTTGAAAAGTGGCAGGGTTGGCTTAAAGGGATTCAGAGAAAAACCCGTTAGAATGTGGATACGTGGAAAAAGAAGAGCAAGTAAAAAATAGAAAATTCATTTGGTCCATCTGAAAATAAGTACGCGACGAGAGATATTTGTGGTGAGCAAAACTGAAGCAATGAAAATGAAGGGAAGCAAAAAGAGTGAGAAAAAAATAGAGAGATAAAAGCAATCAATTTTCACATCCGACAGCTGCAATTCATCTTTAGAAAATTAGCTAATTCAGAAAAATATTGAACGAAAAATGTGACATAAATGTATAAGATAATTCTGCGTTTTGAAAGTTCTACAAAATTTTGCTAATCAACACATGTCTGGTATTTTAAATTTTCAGGCTTTTCAGGTTAAAAATCCTGCTATGAGATGAACATTGGAGTTTTTGACAGTTGTTGCATTGAAAACGTTTAAAACATTACGAATTTCTGCAGCTGCGTGATATGAACAAAACAAAAAGATGCAGAGAACTGATAAGAAAAAACAACCAACCGAAGGAGATTCAAGTGCAGAGGAAGAAGAAAAAGACAGTAAATAAAATAAGATGTTCAACGGGAGTTGTGTTTAACAAAGGCTCAGTATCTATGTAGACAAAATCATAGTTGCGACGGGCCGGGCCTTGGAAAAATTTGTCAAGGCCCGGCCCAGAAGGCCCGGAAGGCCCGACCCGGGAGGCCCGGAAGACCCGGTCAGTTGGCACCAGCTTCGATTTTTAGGCAAAAAAGTGTGTTTTTTTCTGGAAAAAAGTTGTTTTTATTATCTAATTTTGAGCTAAAATGTAAATATTGAATTTGTAAATGTTTAAACAAATTTTTGAAAAATAATTTTTTTCCCTGAATTTTTCCAAAGTTGAGATCGAAGAAAAAAGTGCATTTTTAAAGCAAAATAACAGTTTTTTCTCAAAAACTAGTTTTTTGTTAAAAAATTCTCAAAAATTTAGCAAAAAAGTTTTTTTTTTGAGAAATTTTGACCAAAAAATACCGGTCCGGGCTTTCCGGGCCGGGCCTTAAACGATTTTCGCAAGTATGGAAAAAATATTGTAAGGAAACAAAAAACCGTCGATCTTTACATTAATGGAAAAACTTTAACAGGATTCTCATTTGAAGAAGGAGTTTTCTAACTGGAATGACGTGAACGAATATGGAAGTGCAAACCACGCAAACACGTGGTGGCAGTTTTTCCGGCATTATTCACGACTTCTCATTTTTGGTACCACCCAACTCTCTCGTTTTGCTCTTTTTAGTTTCACAATATTTTTATCACTCACACACTCACAAGATTAGGACAGTTCTGCGAATCGAAGCAGGGAGGGCACGATAAGTCAAGCGGGTGGGCGTCCGATTCTGGGAAGATTGATAACAGAAAGGTTGATCTTTTTCGAAAGTTTAATTTCTATAAAACTGGCTTTTAACCCAGTAGCTGACACAAATTTTATTTATAATAACTTTTTATAAACTTTTATTTTCTCTTTATAAGCTTCAGTACTACGCCTCTGAGTTTGGATAAATAAGTTTAAAATTCTGAAAAAAAATATTCTGACTAATTTTAACTTTGGGGCAGGGCCGAGCTCCAATACTGTTTGTGAATCATCTATGAATTTTTTGAAAGATTGTACCTTCAGTTTACTCATATACATTGTCATTATTCAGCCCCATCATTCTGTAACTACCACCACCCAATCTTGCAATTTCCCTCAATTTCGCAAGTTTTTCAAAATGTCTTCAGAAAACGAGTGAGTTCATTATTCGTAATTAATTTAATATGGACAATTCGTTTCAGGTCAGAACTCAGACTGCTGTTTCTTTCTAAACGAAAATGAAAAATTGAGTTTTACCAAATAAACGTTTCTGTAGGCTATTCGTGTTATTACATTTGGATTGTTTAACTTGAAAGTTCTATGGTTTCAAATTAACTGCTGGTCAAGCCTGATCTCTCTAGCTTATCCTATTTCTCACACTCTCACAATACATATTTCTCTGTCAGGTAACGAAGTTACAGTAATTCTAATCGGCTGTGGCAAAGAAATGACGGAGCAACAACAATAACAAGATATACATTTGAGTACATAACTCAAGAATTATTTGAAATTTTTTGATGAAAATTGAGTACTTATTTTTTTTTACCATTTTATTTTTCAATAATGGGGGTCTGGCATCTTGTGGATACCAGCCCAGTTAACAACAATTATAAAAAGAACAATATTAATCGACAAACAAGGTTAACGGGCTCGAAGGCCATATGTGTAGTGGATTCTCCGCCTTCACTGGTGCTTTCCGTGGTGGATACCGCGTCCACGTTCACGTCCACGTCCACGTCTTGGGGCTCTTCCTCGGGAGCTCCGATCCATTCGAATGGATGGTTCGATTCGATCGGATGATTCGATTGGCGCACCCAAGTACAAATTGTCGCAAAGGGCGGGGTGGTGTAGAGCCTTGGCCGCGTCCAGTGGATACAGGGAGCTACACGTCTCGCAGGCTTCACCATCTCTTGGGCAGATTTCCCCCTCCTGATGCTTCTGGAGGCAGAAAGAGCATTTCCCTTTGTTGAAGACGATCTGTCTTCTGGTCCGCCAACTTGGTCTTTTCTTGCAGGCTTCGGACTGATGGGAGAAGCCTCCACAGAATGCGCAAACTTCGTGTGGCTGAAAATACAGTGAATTATTATTTGTTCTTGTTGTTTGTTAACTTTTTACTTACTGGATACGGCTTTGGAGCTGGATTCACGTTCTCTTTGATTGGTTGGATCTCCTGGATTGGGTCGTAGTATGGAGTACTCCAATGACTCGATGATCCTTCTTTTGTGGCTACTGGAGACGAGTAGTGATCTGGCTTGGGATTTCCAGTCATCTTCGTCAACCAGAGTTGTCTGGAGTCCTCCACGAGGACCTTGATCCTGGTGAGATCGGCTTTGACGACCGCCGAGTCGGTGACAAGACCGTCCACTTTTCGGTTGGTGGCATGGATCTCGTGTCCGGCTCTTTGGTGGGTACTACGATTCTCCTCGAATCCCTTCTTGAGATCGGCGTGGAGGCCAGCTCCATGCTTCCTCAGTTCGGTCTTGAACGTGGTTTGGAGTTCTTCCAGACTCTTCTCCATTCTCTGCATCAGTAGATGCGCCTTTTTTCCATGTTCTAAAATTTCTTCGTTATGGTCTTGCCTGTTAATTTTAGACTGTTACCGATTTCCTTCTCAATTGACCTGATTCTCTTGTTGATGAGCTTGTACATCTCCTCTTGATCTTGTCGAGGCTTCTTGGCCGGAACCTCTTCGGTGGCTATCGTCTCCTTCTTGCGACGAGCTCCAGTTGCTGGTGTAGAGGTTCCTGGAGTTACCGCAGCTGCGTCGGAGTTACCCTTGGCGGCCTTGGCTGTCCCAATCGGAGCGGACTCCTTTTCAATTGTGATGCCTGGAGTGAGTGGAGCTACCGGAGGATGCTCTTCTTCTTGTTCCGCATGGCGTGTCTCCGAGGAGTTGCTTCCATCGTCCTTGAAGTCAATGAGGTCGTTGACTTCCTGGTTGAGTTCGCTGTCATTCATCTGTAATCACTGATTAGACTTAGAATCGATAATTAACAGGGTGATTTTATTATAAAGTACTTCTAATTCTAGGAGATACAGCACAAATTTAACAAGTTTGCTCTTGGAGCTACGGGAAACGTCTGAGGGTTACTGGAGCAGGAATTCGTTGAAGGAAATTCCGTCGATGTCCTGGGCCAACCACATACCGTCAGCGATTTCGGCTCCGATTCAGTAGGCCTTGCAGGCTTCCGCGTTGGTGCGGTTTCCTCCTTTCTCGATCGTCGGACGGTATCCTGGGCTACAACCACATGCCATGTTGGGAGTACTGACTCTTATGACGTCCCGACGTTCGAACACTTTGGTGGATACCGAAGTGATGGAGGTGGTTTCCTATAATTTTTCTTCGTATTTATTGATTGTTAATTTTGTGTCTGACTCACTTTTTTCCCTTTTTCCTTCTTGGGTTTTTTGGAGATACCGGATCCCAATTCGTCGACAGTTGTCATGACCAGCTTCATGCTCTTTTGGATCTACCGCTTCTTGCTTCTTTTGCTCACATGGAGCTACTTCTTCCAACTTGTTGAGTTCCATTGGAGCTACACGATCCTTCCTCTTCTCCGGAGCTACCGCTGGCTCTTGATCGATCGAGTTGGAGGGTCGATTGCTCATTTCCTGGAAAAATCAATAAATTGTATTGAATATTGGCGGTGGAATACGAGTATAGAAGAAGCACAAGAGAATAACGATGGGCGACTGATATTGGGGAAATAAGGGGAATATTCTGTGAATTTTCATCAGTTATCGTTGCTATAGTCACTCTTGCTCTAATCTGAGACTTTCTGGATGATTCTAGAATTTTTTCTGATTTTCGAAAATTTTCGTAATTTTTTCGAAGTTAGAAAAATCGATCGAATCGGCGAATTTCGGATGAATTCCGATCTGAATTGATTTTTAGTATTGATTTTAGATCGATTGAGATGATTTTTAGTCCTTTTGGGACTCTTCCGGACTTTTCGAAACTTTTCGAAATGATTCGAAAATTCGAAAATCGATCGAAATAGCACTTTTGGGCAGAATTTTGCCTAAAATAATTTTTTAGATACTAAATTGATCGATTGGAATCGTTTTGAGTCACTTTGGAAGGATTCTAGAATTTTCGGAAATTTCCAGATTTTTAATGACGCAAATTTTTCAGAATTTTGACGTTTTGGGGACTACATTCGAGCTTTTTCATGCTTTGAGCATGGCCACGCGTTCACCCGACGGCGAAAACACAAAAATTAGAAAATTTGAAGAATTTTAGGCCAAATTCGAAATTTTGGCCTTTTTTGGTCATTATGCCGGATTTTCAGCAAATTTTTGTCATAATTCCAGTTACTAGGAGTTACCAGACTACTATTCTGAATTTTAAGTAAAAACTTACGGAGTTACAGCAGCAAATCAGTCTGAAAACGTCTTAAAATGACGTCGGCGGTGCTTAGAATTGTCTCTAGTCCGCAACTGCGCGTCGGCGTGTACTGATTGGTGTTTGCGTCCAATGCGCACTATTGCGTCAAAGGCGCATGCTGTACCGTAGTCTCGCGATAATTTCGAAATGATTTTTCGATGGTTCAGTGGATTGTTTCGACTGATTTTTCCGATCTTCGTGATGGAAATTGACAAAAATTGCAGAAGAATAGAATTTTCAGACAATATATATAGTTCTTTCGTGCTTGGACCCCGAAAATTCCTTGTTTTCTCAAGCTTCCTGGCTTTTCCTTTTAGGGTGTCTTCCAAGTCTTTTTAGACGATAAACTCATCGGAATTTGATTTTTTCAAGAACTTCCAGGTTCTATTTCTACAAGAAAGTCTTCACGGACATTTGCCCTGCTCATCTCCGGCCGGAACCGTTCAAGAGACTCGCTAATCGTCGGAAATCGATTTTTTCGGGCATTTTCTTGAATTTTTCAGAGTTTTTAGGCTCAAAACCTACAGATTCTCGGCCGTGTAGCTACAAAATCAATCGATATCGATGTGTTTCGCTGATGGAATCGCTTCGAGGCGGGAAACGTGTAGCTACCATGGATTTTGGCTCCGAATCACCGATCATTCCTCTTTTTCGTATTTTTTCGAATTTTTTCGAAATCTTCTGTTTTCCTTCGTGGAAAAAAATCCTTGGATCGGATCTGAACTATATTTTAGCGAGAGATAAAGAGGAAATCAGAGAGAGAGATACACAAAGAGTTAGCGGGAAGGGTCAAGGAGAAAGATGGCAAGAACATTCACCATCCAACAGCACTACATTGAAGCCGACGAACAAGGTTTCTCATTCCCATCTGACATACGTACCTTCAAGGACGAAGACGGCTTAATCCGATTCAAATCACATGTGAAATCAAGTGTACTCCCAGCAGAGACACACACCCCAATCATGATTCACAAAGATCACAAAATTGCATTCATGCTCGTAAGGGAAGCCCACGAAATCAACGGACACCTCCCAGCGGGATACCTGTTCAGTGCATTGCGTACGAGGTACTACATCTGTAACCCAAAATCCATTATCAACAAAGTCATCTCCGAATGTACAAAATGCAAAAAAGTCACTGGAAAGCCTTACGCTTACCCCAACTGTCAGGTACTCCCAGCCCTACGATCGGATCTGAACTATATTTTAGCGAGAGATAAAGAGGAAATCAGAGAGAGATACACAAAGGGTTAGCGGGAAGGGTCAAGGTGCGCAAGCGGCTCTCTGGCTCGACTAGGTTCGAGATTTTTAGGCCCATTATCAAAAAATCAATAATTTTAGGAACTCTAACATTCTCACGGACCGTCCGTCGATGCACCATGTTGACAGTGGATCCGAGGTCAGCCGAGACCGATCCAACGTCCTAACCAGAGAGACTTGTTTACCTGTAAAAGACCCCCAAACCCCCCAATGTGTAAGATAAGCGGTGCAAGTGCATAACAGTACACAAGCTATTCAAATCCCAATTTATTGAAGGAAAGAGGGTCGAATAAACGGCAAAGACAATAGTAATGGGTAAAAGAAAGCGATACAGAAAAGAGGTAAAGGTGTAGGACTAAAACCTCCTGGGAGCTACCGGAGGAAACCTTGCTGCCCTCAAAAACTGTTGCTAGCAAAACCATAACACTGCCAAACGTAGGAGATAGTCTGAAACTATAATAAAAGTAGAAAGGGACCGCATAGCGGTCAGAAAAGGGGAGATATCCGTCTCCCTTGATACGAACAATTTTTCTGTAAGCGTGCGCGGAATGCGCCGCTCATGTCGGCGCCAATGCCGAACGGCGCGACGCGTGTCGCGGCACGTGTTGGCGCTTATTCAAATTATATTTAAGTTAGTGAACGAAACAATTGATTGTGATTGGTGAACGGAGTGTGATAAGAAGGGGAATGAATATGACACGATTAAAACGGATAATCCAGAGGGATTTTATGGGGAAAATCGGGGGACTCTGGGTTATAGCGTTTTCAAGTTGTCAGTGTCCCAAGACAATGGGGAAAATTGACAACATTCATCAAATTTTTTGAATGTTGTATTGCATTGTGTCTTTAAAAATAAATATTTATTATAAATTGGTTCAAAACTAGAAAAATGTTTTAAGGTTTTTCTAGTTGTGAACCACGTTTTTATTTTCCATTGCCATCGCCTGTTGACCCGATCTCAATTCTCTCAGATAAAGTGTCTTAAACACTTCACGATAATCAAAGAATAATTGGTAAAAATCTTGAAACGAAAACAATATTTCTCAAATCTTTCACTGTCTAGTATGGCTTTTCATGACTTTTACGGTCAACGCTGCGATGAAAAATTATGATCCAAAAAAAGTTCACATAGAGAATTTTATAGCAAATGGAATTAACATTCAAAGCATCTTATGTTTCCGAGGAAATCTTTTGTGAATTCGATTTTGATTTCTAATGACACAATTTCGAAACTCTTCTTTTTCTAATTTCAGTGATGTGGCATGACTCAAAAACAATCTGCAAACATATTCCGAATAAGAAAGTATGACACCATCTGGTGGTTATGCAAAATTGAAACCAAGTGAGTAAATAACCTTCGTTTGACCTGCATCGTTCATTAACTCTTATCAGTCATCTTTCAATTGTCATGCGTCATTCGTAATTTTTATAACAATCAACCTTTGGATTGTCTTAATTTCCAGGTCATTTCTGAGAAGCTCGTAGTGACTCACTCTTTCTTCTTGGCTTCTTTTACCACATACAGCAAGCTCAACACTATTTTAATTGATACACAACAACTCAATTTTGATGGGTGTGTCAATGCAAGTAAACACATCCAATTTGTATAATAAATTTCATCAAAATTCTAGTGTTATAAATATTCACAACCCACTGATATTATCATATTTTTCTAGCATTAGCATCACTTTTATTCAACACAAGCCATATGCACCGGGTACCTGAAATTAGAATTCTGTGTCTCCGGATTTTCAGTAAAATTTTTCCCAAACGCTGAGGAACCCTGAAAGTCTCCGTCCCGGCTGAAAATTTTCGAAGAGTAAAAATTAGTCCCAATAAAATTATAGAAGCCGTAACGACATTTTTTGTAATTTGGAGCTGAGTGTTTGCACCTTTCCACAAGCATCCACTTTTTCATATCAAACAAAATGCCCCAAAGTTCATTCAAAGAAAACAAAAAATTAAATAAATTAAGAAAAAAAAACTGAAAACGGAAGAAATCAAAGATGTTTTAAAAGTTTTTCATGCAACAATTCCATTCTTTTACTATGAGATTGCAGCCTCACCTTTTTCCTTGTTTTGTTCATGACTCAGATACAGAATACAGTACTCCCAAGCTAGTTATAGCAATCTACAAACTTTTTTTCAGCAAGAACCTACCTCTTATCAGTTTTCGGAGGGTCAAACCTTTTTTGCTGATAAGATTTTTTTTCATTTTGAGAGATTGTCAACAAGTTGTGCCACTAACCACGCCCGCTTCTTAAATTGCAATTGTTTCATTTTCATTCATCATGCTCAGGATGTCTTTAGAATACCAGTAAGTTTTGACTTTTTTTTTTATTTATGTTTTCATTTCTAAATTTTAGATTGCGCCGCCAGATGGAGGAAATGCAGCTGCAATTGGGCCTGTGAGTCCCTAGAATCAGATAGAGAAGGCATTCAAATTTCACAGTTTATCGTCAGAACTAACAGAAATGAAAAGGCGGAATGATGAACTAACCATGGAAAAATTGAACTGGGAGAGAAAATCGAAGACGTGAGTGATTTTAAAATTTGAAAACCCCTATAAACCAAATTTTGAGAAATACATATCTTCATGTCCGCTCTCTTTTTAAAGGTTTCACTTTTATTCAAGGCTGTCGGAAATGGCGGCCGGCCGGCCTCAGGTCCAGTGAGGCCGCGGCCTCTCTTGTTGAATTGACAGCGCGGCCGTCAAGGGCCGGCCGGCCGGCCGTGCGGAGCCTGAGAAAATTAGTTAAAACTGAACAGATTTGCAAAAAGATGAAAAATAGGTTTTAAAAAAGAGCGAAAGTTTGGAAAGTAGCGAACATATAATTTTTTTCTAACTTTACTGATGAAAATGAAAGGTGGAGAAGAAAAACAAATTTTTCAATTGAAAAATTTTCCCCGTTCATTTAGTAATTTCTCTTTCTCTGTTTATATTTGTCGTTACAATTTCCACAATTTTTACATTCATTAATTCTGAACTATTAATTTTTAAAATCCTTTTTTAAACTTTCTATTGGCTGTAAATGTTTCGCACGATGAAAAAGTAGAAATTTACAGAAAAAGTGTATAAGATAAGGGATTCAAGAGCAAAATACCGCAAAACAGATAAAGTCAAAATTCATTTCAAATGACGGCCGGCCGGCCTAGGCCGAGCAGAGTGTTTCCAATTGCGCGGCCGGCCGGCCGTGGCCCTGTTTCCGACAGCCTTGCTTTAATTTACTTTTTATTAATTTCAGATTGGAGGAAAAAAACAAAGCACTGACACATAAAACCGGAAAACTGGAAGCCATGAATAAAGTCTTAAAGGAAACATTGACCGCAGAAGCAAAAAAGAATGCGTAAGACTTTTGTTTCTAGTTTGTAACACTAAACATTTTTGCAGAATTTTGCCTACAAAGTTTTCTTGTGATTCAAAAATGCTCATTTCAAAACTCCAAAATGCAAATGAGAAACGGTTGGTGTCGATACCGGAAACTTTCAATCAGCATTTCATTTAAGCTCCAATCTGGCGGAATTTGTGGCCATTCTTCAAGAAAACCTGCTTGAACTCGAACATACCAGCCAGGTGAAATCGGATAGCCTTCAGAAAAATATGCGATTTAAACAAGACCGAGCAAGAAAGTTGAAAAGTGCATTATTGGAAATGATTGGTGATTTGACAAACTTTGCATCAGACATGCGAAGGAAAGAACAACATTTGTAGGTTCCCCCTAAGATTTGTATTTTAAAATAAGACATTTTTAGACCTACTATTGGAACCAACAACATTGAAGACACTCAAATCCAAGAATTCGTTGCCTGGGCGGTACACCAAGCTGAAAGATGGTATCAGAGAAGTGTCGCTGAACTAACGAAAATTGCAGAATCTCCTACTCCTACAATTCGCACGCCCGCATGAAACATTTTCGAATTATCCTTTTTTCAAATTTTCGTCCCTTTTTTATCAATTTTCATTTTTTAATTCGATTATTTCATTTCCTACTTTCTAACAAGCTACCTCTAAATGCAACAACTGCAAAAAAATCCATAAATTGTTTTCATTTTTTGCGCTGCCAATAAATTATTGTTTAATCAAAAACTTTATGAAACACAAAACATTTTCTCGGTGAAACATGTGAATAAGAAATTCGTGTTCGCTCATTTTCCTCCGCTGAAAAGCAAGACTGCAATTTCAGACATACAAAGTGAAAATTCAAAATTAAGTTTAAAAAAATAGCATGAAAATTTGAAACTTTTTTCTATGTTTCATTTGTTTGATCTGGATAAGATTTTCTAATTATTGACGGCTGTAATAGCAAACTCTGAATATTTTAAAATCAGCTTATTCAAAAGTAACTAGTCTTCAGAGTTCCCAATTTGAAATTTCCAATTTTCACATTGCTCATTTTTAAATGTACATGCCCATTTTCACACATCATTCCAACAGTACTGTAGCCGAATACACAATAAAATTTTGAAATTTCAAATCTTTTTGCGTGTTTTGCGTGGTCTTCGGTCATCGCCATCTGTCCATGTTTTAAATTGCAGGAATAATTTTTTGTGTGTTCTTTTTTTTTGAGAGTGCTGTGTTCTCACAATGACCTTCTTTCTCTTTATTTCCATATTTTCGTTTCTAGAGTTTCTGATATTTTCTGATATATTTAGACTGTATTTTTCTAAGAAATCTTGTGATTTACTTGCTATTGCGTTTTTAAATGTATAAATTTCTCATATTTTTTTATTTTTAGTTTCAAATTTGAGCTAATTTATTCTGCGTCAAATATGATTTTATAAATCACAACCAATTTTGCAACATTTGGAAATAATTTTTTAAATTAGAATTTTCAGAATATAATGCCATCAATTCATCAACTTGGGACTGCTCCCGCTCAGTTTCAACTGAGAACCGGGAACATCAACGGAAATTTGGAGCTCAAGGTCTGAATATCCGTTCACTATTTAAGTTTTAGTATTGCTAAGATTTTTAGTGCACAAATTTCTCCAACTCCGCCGAGGAACTTGAGCAGTGGATTGCTCTTCAGTCAGAGGACTCGATCAATGACAATGTCGGATTTTTATGAATAAAGCATTTTTTTAAAGTTGTTTTTTTTCAGATGGAAGACGACCGAATGACGCTTCACTCTCGTAATGATTTGAAAGTCACTTTCAAGATCTTCATGACCAAGTGGGAAGTTGAATCGATCGAGAAGGCAATTGAGGCTTTGAAAGAAAAACTGAAAATCAAGGATATTGAGGTGATCTAGTCTACAATCCGGTTTTGAAAAATTCAAAAAATTCATAGAGTGTAATAAATTAATAAGGAAGGAAATTAAAAATAGCTAGAAGTGTCATTATCTTACATTAGAAACCTATGCCGTGAGGAATGTATGAGCTAATTTTCCTTGTATTTTTTTCAAAGTATCAAAGACCTGTCAACAGAAAAAAAATGTGTGATATTAGGTTGGGAGGAAAGTAACTGTCCCTTGTTTTATTTGTGAAGAATGCAAAAAGCAGATTAGGCCAAGATTAGCAGTATGTATGCATCGTCGTGGTCCACAAGATGTTGCCAACATTCAGGTAACATAACTGCTCTAGCGCGGATAAAGACTGTGTAACGTCCGAGCAATGTCGTCTGCGATTTTTCGGCGGCTCTGTCGATCTGAAATAGCGTTTTATGTTTATTTATGTTTTGTTTTATTTATGTACATCACCAAACAAAAAATTCACAAAAACGTGTTTTTCAGTTGACTTTCGGCCATTTTGATTATTTTCAAAAGTCTGGAGCTCGGCTGTCAATTTAAGATCACTTTGAAAGCTTCGGAGGATGTAAAACAAAGCTAGACTAAAAATTTGCATTCATATGATTTTTTTTTGAAAATTCCTACTTTTTTCAGCTAAGAAGATGTTTTTCAAAAATCGGAAAATGGCTGAAAAACTAAGAATTCTTGAAAAGTTCTGTGGTTGCAAAGATCCTAATCTAAGTCTATTTTTCACCATCCAACATTTTCAAAGTGATCGTGAACTTGACAACTTTCACTTTTTCTCTTCGATTTTGCCAAATTCCTTACGATCTAGATGGCGTTGTATATCTCCGAATATAAATTAATCGGATAGAACAAAATCAGGACTTTCGCGGGCTAAAGGAGAATGGTCAAGCCAAAGCGGCTCATGTGCGGCGTGACTTTTCGTGCAACATGAGCCGCTTTGCATTTTTGACGAAACTCAAGTCAGACCTGAGCAGCTTCAACGGGACGGTTCTCCCTCACTTACTTATTCCATTCACCAACACCAACGAAAAATCTGACCCCCACCTTATAAACAACTATAGTAGAGCACCCCACCAGTACAAAAATGGGTAGGGGCTCTACTGAGGTGTGGGGGGGCTTTTGTTGATTTAAAGTAAGACCGCCCCCCCCCCCCCCCCAACAGTACAAAAGGGGGGCCTATACTTGAAGAACCTGGTATTCTTAAAATATGACCCCCATCCCACCTTGTCTTCTTCAATTAAACGCCTACAACCATTCAAAAATAGCCCCCCCCCCCAAAAAAAAAGAATCTTATCTGAGCCCCCTACTTTATTCAAGTATGACCCCCCACCTATTCAATAATAGCCCCCACCCATCCAATTTTAGCCCCCCACCCATTCACTTTTAGACCCCCACCAATTCAAAAATAGCTCCCCACCATTTTTTTGGTCTAAGCCTGAATTTTAGAATGTTTCAATTCTTTGGAAGCTGTCAAAGTTTCATATGTAAATATATTTTTCAGAAAAAAAAAATCCCAGAATTTTTATCATTTTTCGCAATAAAAAGGTTAAAAATGACAAAAATTCCAAAAAAAAACCGAGAAAAATAAAAAAGGCACTCAACATTTGCATCGTGACGGCTACGGTACCCTTCACACACCACAAACTACGCAAAAATGGGGGTCTATAATTGAAAGGGTGGGGGGGGGGCTCATTTTGAATTAATAAACTTTTTCAAATCTACAGATTTTTGGTGGAAGGGGGGGGGCTCTATTGTAGTTCATTTTGAGAGACTATACTTGAATTGGAGTGGCGGCTATATTTGAATTCACCCAAGGGATATTTTGATTTGCAGCTAGCTAGCTTTTGGAGGTATGGTATCCACAAGTTACCTGAATGTTGGCAACATCTTGTGGACCACGACGATGCATACATACTGCTAATCTTGGCCTAATCTGCTTTTTGCATTCTTCACAAATAAAACAAGGGACAGTTACTTTCCTCCCAACCTAATATCACACATTTTTTTTCTGTTGACAGGTCTTTGATACTTTGAAAAAAATACAAGGAAAATTAGCTCATACATTCCTCACGGCATAGGTTTCTAATGTAAGATAATGACACTTCTAGCTATTTTTAATTTCCTTCCTTATTAATTTATTACACTCTATGAATTTTTTGAATTTTTCAAAACCGGATTGTAGACTAGATCACCTCAATATCCTTGATTTTCAGTTTTTCTTTCAAAGCCTCAATTGCCTTCTCGATCGATTCAACTTCCCACTTGGTCATGAAGATCTTGAAAGTGACTTTCAAATCATTACGAGAGTGAAGCGTCATTCGGTCGTCTTCCATCTGAAAAAAAACAACTTTAAAAAAATGCTTTATTCATAAAAATCCGACATTGTCATTGATCGAGTCCTCTGACTGAAGAGCAATCCACTGCTCAAGTTCCTCGGCGGAGTTGGAGAAATTTGTGCACTAAAAATCTTAGCAATACTAAAACTTAAATAGTGAACGGATATTCAGACCTTGAGCTCCAAATTTCCGTTGATGTTCCCGGTTCTCAGTTGAAACTGAGCGGGAGCAGTCCCAAGTTGATGAATTGATGGCATTATATTCTGAA